CTTGAAAGGGTCACTTTTTGCTCTGTATGCCGTGGCGAATAAAAAAAAAGGGGGGGGGGGAGAAGCACACGGGTACGGTATGCTACCCGGCTACCAGTGTGCGGCACAGTATGTGGGAAAGCCAGCTTTAATATGATGGAAAGGTGGGCTAGTTGGGAATTCATGGTGGTTCGGCGAACTGGGAGCGCGGGGTTAAACGCAGACACAAAGCAAAGAGGAGGCACGCAGCACGAGCGCTGATTTTTTTTTAAACCCTTCCTTGTCAGAAACAAGAACCCTTATCTGCTTTTTCAGGCAAAAGTCTATGACAGGTTCCGCATGCAATGTTCTACTAGACTTAATAGCATGCCTCGAAAGAACATGAACACTTTCCGTTACACACCTATGTCGTTCTTCCTCCTTGGCTAGCTTGGAGACAGCCCTCGCTGTAGTAATGTTTTAGGGGCGAAGCTCCTTAGGGCGTGGGCTGTGCGTCCCCTGTAGCCTGTATGTAGCCACCTGTCGTTTAGTTCTCGCAGTGTCCACTAGATGGCGGTACCGTCTCTTGTATGTTGCCTCTTCTCGTTTAGTTCTTGCAGTGTTTACTAGATGGCGGTTCCGTCTCCTGCATATAGCCACCTCTCGTTTAGTTCTTTCAGTGCTCACTAGATGGCGGGACTTGTAGCTGATGATGAAAAGATGCAAGATGTTATAAACTAGACGGCGGTACTTGTAGTTGATGATGAAAGATGCGAGATGTTATAAAATAGGAATGATGTCACATATGGCACGTGTCATTGGTGGAAGGCAATCGTTCGATTTAGTGCAGCGACGTACGCTAGGGGGAGCATTGTAATAAAATCGAGTAGGCAAAATGTACGGAAGATTCATGGTTTACCAGGTTTTCCTCCAGAGCTTCGCCCACTCATCATCATTCACTTCGTGGATATGGCGGCACTTTTTTCTTCTGGTCGCAGGTTTGTTTCCACGGCGAACTTCGGGCCTTTTTGCGGAACGTGCTGAATTTTTTCCGGCAGGTTGACGCCATTCAGGTTCATGAAACGCCCCCCTATGTGAAGCTTGTTTTTTCTTGACGAGAGGTTGTGGCCTGATGCAGTTCCGCAAGGTTTCAGTCGCATTTCTCGCTGTCTTGCGCCACTCGACATAGGTACTGCAGTTTCTTAGATGATCATTCTGGTCACAAATGACCCGTAGCCAGTCCTTATAATACCGGACTTGTCTATACCATTCGGAGCAGAGTATCCGGCATATCCTTTTAGTATGATCAAAAGATGGGTTCATCCATCCAAAAAGCACCTGTACATCGGTGGGACAAGATCCCTGACGAAAATGCCACGACATGTCTTGCGCGACATGTTGAGACAGCTATGCATGATGCCAAAATAGCGGGGTGTTGAAGAGAGGAATTAAAGCAGTTAAAAGAGCCCTGTGTAATAGAAATGCATTGCAATATGATGTAAAGGTGGGCTAGTTGGTAATTCATGATGGTTCAGCGAACTGGGAGCACGGGGGTAAACACAGACACAAAGCAAAGAGGAGGCACACAGCACTGAGCGAGTTCGCTGAACCATCATGAATTACCAACTATAGCTGAGCGCTCTTACTGTGTGCCTCCTCCTTGCTTTGTGTCTGTGTTTACCCCCGCGATCCTAGTTCGCTAAAGCCAGCTTGGAAAGTTAAACCAGGCTTACACTGATTTCTTTACAGTCGGCTTTGCTTCCAAGCACAAAGGTCTTGCTAAATAGAATTTTTTTTGGGGTAATATAGACCATACTGTATTAAATCAAAACGAGAAGGCATAGGGCCTTTTCTATTGTTCTATTACTCCCTTGATGTTGCCCAGAGGCATTCGCATGTACTGGGAGAGCACGGATGTGGTAGCTGCTGGTTTCATTCCATCGTGCTCTAACGTGGACGACTACCGTCAACTCGGGAACGCCTTGAGTAATGAACGTCTTGCACACGGATACCATGAATCCCAGGATCTTAGCCATACACATCTTCAGTGTGAAAAGGCGTATTTGGGGTTTCCTTGTGCTACAGAACAATAGACAGATTTAGTTGCGCGTCCGCAGGCAGCAGTCGTACGGACCCAACCTGCCAGCCATTCGTAATAGGCACCCGACAGTGGGCCAGAGGGCGCGACGAAGCTCTTTGGGCCGCCTCAGCATGGTTGGTACCGACCGCCAAGGATACTAAGAAAATGAAACGCTCGCTGAACACAGTGACACGCTGATGGGTCAGTGCCCTTTTTGGCACGTTTTCAAAGAACGCTTCCTGGGCGCTTACATAATCAGCCATGACACGCTTGCTCAAAACTAAAAAAATAAAATGATATGCACGTGCAAGTTCGGTTTTGCTGCGTCTACTCGCTAGGCTACGCATTGGAAGACTCGGTTTTGCTGCGCCTACTCGCTAGGCTGTGTGTTCTGGCGCTGCCATCAGATCTCGTAAACAGCATTGCCGGGTGCCTATATGAGAGGCTGCGTTCCTACGGCTACTGCGGACGCGCAACTAAATCTGTTTAATAATCGTCGATCCCCGATCTCACGTGACCAGGTCTTGCGTTGTCGCTCCACGCCCTCTACTTCCAGGTACTAAACAGCGTTCACGTTGTACATTGCACTCTCAGAAGAAAACAGAGAGTGCCGTTTTCCAGAAATTAAACGCATTAAAATATTGCTCTGTGGCAGAAATACACCCAGATACTCCCATTCACCCTGATTGGAGTATTTGGGGAGTATATCTGCGACACAACCATCAGGTGACTATATAGCTCGCGTTTCCTTTCTGACAACTCGACTCTCATCACTTTCCTATCAAGAGTGCAACGTCACTCTGATAGTGCGCAAGAATAATTATGAAATCAGCAGATTAATATCTGAAACTGAACAATTAAGTATATATTTCCGCGACACATATGTGCCAGCATACCCTCGCTGTCTTCCCCCCGTCCAAAAGAACTGAATTTTCTGCGCATGGTGCGTTGAGGCTTATCATTTGTTTGTCTGCGTCCACAGACATATGCGTGCGCAAAGTTCCCCATCATGGGATAGGGGGGAGGGGGTGAAACAAAAGCCGGTTTAGGGTGCGTGCCTATCCCCCCCCCCCCCCCATGATCACGGCAATGCCCAATGCACATTTGCCTTCTCAATGCTGAAAGGATATATTTACCTTGTGGTTCTTGATATTGTTTGCTGTGTAGGTTCACGTGACCACATTGTGAAAAAAAGTTTCTTTGTTGGCCTGGGCAAGGAAATAGGCATATAGCAGGGGCGTAGCAGAAGGTGTTACACCTAACCCGCCCCCCCCCCCCCCCCTCAAAAAAATTTTTTTCACCATGGCATAGAGAGCGAAAAATGACAATTTTATGAGTGCTCTCTCCGAAATGATGAAATCTCGCCCCCACCCTTCCTTCCCTCAAAAAAAATTCTGGTACGGCCCTGGCAATGTGTGCGCACATTTCTTCTTTTGTCCCTGTGCTTTTTCGCGTTCAGCCCCGAAAAGTGTGTCAAACCAACAAGCTGACACGCATAATTAAGCACCCCGATCCCATCCGGCCACCCCTTAAGAAACATTTATTTGTAGCGCGTGCCACCCCCCTTCCCCTCCAGTCCACAAGAAAAAAAATCTTGGCGCCGCTTCTGAACAAACGACTGCGCTTTATTGGCGTGGCGTAGTATATTCTTGTCATAAATGTAGGGATTTATTTGCCCCGTCAAAGCAGAGGATCCCGGGCACCTCACCCAAATATTTTCGGGAAGGCATCTAAGTTGATATTTTATGCACCTCGCTGTGCATAATTAGGACTTGCGCCCGAGTTTTTCACGAAAGGAGACGCAAAGGGTAACCGACTGATGACGAGGCGATAGTATGCGATTTCGAATCATCACACAAAACGCCTAAAGAGCAGTAATTAAATTTTAAAGTTGTCAGAAGGAGTACGGCATGCACGCATGGCCTAGGGCGTGGAGTACGAAAGTATAGGTGTGTGTAAATCTTCGTACTTTGTAAATGCAGTAGTGGTGCACGTCCCTTAACAATGTGCACCTCTTCCCCTCCCTTCCAAATCAGCGCTTGAGTTTACAAGAAACGAGAAATGTCACCGACGGAATCACTATTTGCTCCAAATGGTGTAAACCGTCTGAGAAAGTATTTATCACTCTAACGGTGGTATGTTCAAAATTGGCAACATACACCGAAAAGAGGGTTTCCTGTTTTAGAGTGCATTTTTTTTTTTGTGGAACACCTCAACAGTGGTATTTCCGAAAGCGCAAACCACGTGGTGCAAACAGGTGTACAAAAGAATGCAGGCGTACAAAGTTGTGTACGTGTTTGTGCGCGATGCTTTATAAATGGGCGCACGGACACGTATACTAGCATTCTGCTTGCCTTAGAAATAATCAACAAATTTATTGCAAGCTTAATTAGCGTAATGTAAATAGATAGCGCGAAAAACGCGACCACAAAGGACATACAACCGTCCTGTGCATGTGATTATATTGGGGTCACATACGCTTTGCCCATCGGAAGCTCCAGATTTCACTTGCCCGACTCTTGGCGTGCCGTGAAAAAAAAAAGTGCGAGTCTTGAGCTTGCTCTACTTTGCGGCACAGTGAAGAATGTTAGTGTGCACACCATTGAGTTTTATATATTCCGCCACATTCAGAACGCTTTTTGACGATGGCGATGCGGCCCGGGCATCCGACATAAGGGTTTTCCCAATGACTTGACAATCGACCAACGCGTCCGGTGAGGTTGACATACACAATGTTTAACAGCGCCAATTGTTTCAATCAAAGCATTGCGTTAGAGCTTATTCAACGGAGTGACAGCTTCCGGATCTGTCGCGCAGCAACAACAAAGCAGTGGCAACTCCAAAAAGTAAGCAGCTAAAAAAAAGGTGTCCGCCTCTCACGTCCTTCGCGCTGTTTCACCGTCGCGCCGTTTGCGTTCGCCGTGCCACCTAGCCAGGCAAGCACAAACATCCCTGCTGCTATGCTATCAAATACGTGTTTTTCTCGCTACTGCTGCGATCGGGAGCGTTTCTCAGCTGGAGCTTCCTCTATGCCGTGCTGTCAAAACTGTACGCCGCACCTCCCGTGATTCGAGAAGACAACGCGTCGTACTCGCTACTTCGGAAGGCCAAAAGACCGTGCAGAGACGATGCGTAAGTTGCGTGTTGGTACTCTCCAAACCTCGATCAAAACACGCCGTGCCGCCCGCGGTGCGTTGAACTGCCAGAACCACTTGTTCGTATGCATGTCACACTTCTTGGCACCGTTCCGTTTTTTTCGCGCTCAGCTGCCTTTCCGCGATCGCGTACCCCCCACGTCTTTCTGGGAATGCTATGCAGGGCAATCAACCCACACTCGACCGTGATCATAAAAAAGCGGCCAGTGATTAATAGCCTTCTATCCGCGCCCACAAGCTAGCTGCCTGCTTGCCGAAAGTGCGCACTGCCAAGATCGCCCGATCGACAGACTCGAAGCCCCAGACTGGCCAACCGCGAATGTAAACTCGCTGCAACTTTTATCGGTGAACGACTCGCGTACTGCGGGTGATTCCTGTTTATCTCTTTGCGCCGCGTTGTTTCGCCAAACCGCCGTGTTGACGTTTCGCTTCCGCTTTCAGATCGGTGGTCGTGACGCTGTTCGTATGTGTTCTTCGTGCGAGTTTGCCGGCCGCTGTGTGAATGGATCGAGCGGTGGTGCGTGTGGCCGACGGAGCGTCGCACCATCACGAAACGCCGCCCGATGACTCGAGTTTGAGGTAAGCGAGCGTGAATGATTGCTTTGCCCTTGGGAGATACGAAAAAAAAAAAAAAAAAAAACGCGATTGTTCCCTCTGCCGGCCTGTTGACGCTCCTGTGCATTGACCGAGTGTGTACCTATATTTGTCTTGCGTTACAAGAGACCTACTAAAGATGCTCCCGCGGGTCCGGTGCGAAAAAAATTGGGGCTGAAGTGGCTGAACGTCGCGCTTGTGATCGTAGAGCTATTTCTGATCCCGGCGTGATGCGACGTAGACTCCTATGTGGATGAGACCTCGTGTGTGCAGAAAAATATGACGGCAGCTGTCACCCGTCGTGTGCTCGCAGCGCGTGGGAGTGCAGTTCTCGCTCTCTGGGTGGTCGCCAGATGGGAGCTTGCGCAAGTGTCTCGTTGGATGAGAATGAACATTTATTGGTCGCTTTGGCGTTACGTTGTGAGCCTAATTATATCGCCTCATCGTTGACATTTCTCGCGCACCCGCGGGAACCGAAACCAGTTACTTCGTTGGAATTTTTTTTTTTTTTTGCGGTACACCTAAACAGCGGTATTTCCGAAAGCGCAAACCACGTGGTGCAAACAGGTGTATAAAAGAATGAAGGCGCACAAAGCTGTGCGCAAGTACACGCGTTTTCACGCAATGCTTTAGAAATGGGTGCACTGCTTGCCTTAGAAATAGCCAACAAATGTATTGTAAACTTAATTAGTGTAGTGTAAATAGATAGCGCGAAAAACACGACCACAAAGGACATACACCCGTCCTGCGCAATGTGATTACTTTAGGGTCACACACTCTTTGCGCATCGGAATCTCCACACTTCACTTGCCTGACTCTTGGCACGCTGTGGAAAAAAAAAAGTGTGATTCTTGAGCTTGCTCAACTTTGCGCCACAGTGAAGAATGTTAGTGTGCACACCATTGAGTTTCATATATTCCGCCACATTCAGAACGCTTTTTGACGATGGCGATGCGGCCCGGGCATCCGACATAAGGGTTTTCCCAATCACTTGACAATCGACCAACGCGTCCGGTGAGGTTGACATACACAATGTTTAACAGCGCCAATTGTTTCAATCAAAGCATTGCGTTAGAGCTTATTCAACGGAGTGACAGCTTCCGGATCTGTCGCGCAGCAACAACAAAGCAACGGCAACTCCAAAAAGTAAGCAGCTAGAAAAAAGGCGTCCGCCTCTCACGTCCTTCGCGCTGTTTCACCGTCGCGCCGTTTGCGTTCGCCGTGCCACCTATCTAGGCAAGCACAAACATCCCTGCTGCTATGCTATCAAATACGTGTTTTTCTCGCTACTGCTGCGATCGGGAGCGTTTCTCAGCTGGAGCTTCCTCTATGCCGTGCTGTCAAAACTGTACATCGCACCTCCCGTGATTCGAGAAGACAACGCGTCCTTCTCGCTGCTTCGGAAGGCCAGAAAACCGTGCAGAGACGATGCGTAAGTTGCGTGTTGGTACTCTCCAAACCTCGATCAAAACACGCCGTGCCGCCCGCGGTGCGTTGAACTGCCAGAACCACTTGTTCGTATGCATGTCACACTTCTTGGCACCGTTCCGTTTTTTTCGCGCTCAGCTGCCTTTCCGCGATCGCGTAACCCCCCACGTCTTTCTCGGAATGCTATGCAGGGCAATCAACCCACACTCGACCGTGATCATAAAAAAGCGGCCAGTGATTAATAGCCTACTATCCGCGCCCACAAACTAGCTGCCTGCTCGCAGAAAGTGCGCACTGCCAAGATCGCCCGATCAACGGACTCGAAGCCCCAGACTGGCCAATCGCGAATGTAAAACTCGCTGCAACTTTTATCGGTGAACGACTCGCGTACTGCGAGTGATTCCATTCCTGTTTATCTCTTTGCGCCGCGTTGTTTCGCCAAACCGCCGTGTTGACGTTTCGCTTCCGCTTTCAGATCGGTGGTCGTGACGCTGTTCGTATGTGTTCTTCGTGCGAGTTTGCCGGCCGCTGTGTGAATGGATCGAGCGGTGGTGCGCGTGACCGATGGAGCGTCGCACCATCACGAAACGCCGCCCGATGACTCGAGTTTGAGGTAAGCGAGCGTGAATGATTGCTTTGCCCTTGGGAGATACGAAAAAAAAAAAAAAACACGATTGTTCTCTCTGCCGGCCTGTTGACGCTCCTGTGCATTGACCGAGTGTGTACCTATATTTGTCTTGCGTTACAAGATACCTACTAAAGATGTTCCCGCGGGTCCGGTGCAAAAAAAAATTGGGGCTGGAGTGGCTGAACGTCGCGCTTGTAATCGTAGAGCTATTTATAGTCCCGCCGTGATACGACGTAGACTCCTATGTGGATGAGATCTCGTGTGTGCAGAAAAATATGACGGCAGCTGTCACCCGTCGTGTGCTCGCAGCGCGTGGGAGTGCAGTTCTCGGTCGCGACTCGCTCTCTGGGTGGTCGCCAGATGGGAGCTTGCGCAAGGGTCTCTTTGGATGAGAATGAACATTTATTGGTCGCTTTGCCGTTACGTTGTGAGCCTAATTATATCGCCTCATCGTTGACATTTCTCGCGCACCCGCGGGAACCGAAACCAGTTACTTCGTTGGAATTTTTTTTTTTTTTTTACGCACTGATGCACTTAACGTTGGCAGTGTGCCCTTATTGTAATAAGCTGTGGGAAACATCAATCAAGCCACTACCCGAGAGCAGCACACTTTCATCGAAGAAGGAACAGTTGAACTAAATTTGCTTTGTTGCTATGCGTCCTTTCACATGTAAGTTTAAAAATTAGAACGCTGGGCAGTGTATGACGGCAGTATGTTCGAGTGCCACATGTGTGCTGTTTCATAATCAGCCATCCACCAGCAGGTGCAAATCTATGGCACTGTGGCTTTTCGTTTATTTAATTAGAACTAATAGGCGCAAAAGCCACAGAGAGTAAGAGGACATGTTATTCATAGCACTTGTATTGTAAATGTAATGTAATGGGAAGAAAGAAAAGTGGACTAAAGGGCAACTTGCCATGGGCAGAGATCAAACCTGTGGCCTTCGAATAACGCATTTGGTGCTTTGCATTTATTTATTCATTTTTTTATTTTGCCCCTGGCAGTGCACTTTACCAGTTTGCATTTCGCTGCCATTGCCCAAAAGTTTAAGGCCACTAGGGTCAGCGTCCTGTATTGCCTGAAACTGCCCTTCCATATGGCACCTAACTAATAAGATTCATGATAGCCTGCGGGATAACGTACAAGATGGATTTTTATGGAGGTACGTCGGAGAACCTGCCTGTCAACCTTGTTACGAGCTGTATCAGTCATCCCAGAACACTTGCGCTCGTGCCTCAGCAGTTGTGACCTGAATCCTTCTGCCAGAGATGATAGCGCTTTACTGCTTTTGTCGTCCAGCTAAATATAACAGCCCTACCCTTTCTTGAGAAGACTTCGGTATTGTCACAAATGAGACAAAATGTTGTCTCAGGTGCTGTGTTATTCAGGTCCAGTGTGTATTGAGGTGTGTCTTGAAAATGTTCTCCATAAACTTTGCCATTACATGTGTGCACATGATATTCTGCAGGTCCTGTTGTTCCCCACTGCTTGTCCTTCTTTTGTAGTAAAGACGATTGCACCAGGTTGCAGGGTTTCTCTACCTAAGCGCCGTGCTTAGTATATGTGATGTTCTCTCTTTTGCCAATACTTGTTACACATACCTTGAATTCTACTCCGTGGAGTAGCCCTAAACTTGTAGGTGTTTTTGTTTTCCACCTGCAACCCGTTATACACTTGGGCAACACCCTTGATTTTGGTGAGTTCTGAGTGCCGAAAGAGCTTACGCAATGCTGCCTGACTTCTGGGCAATTTAGTTGCTGTTCACGCTAATTTATTGGTATTCATGTTGCCTTGGTGACTACTGTGGAGTGAGGTCAAGTGTTTCATTCTTAATTACTCAGATTTATTCATAACCACTGAAACCTGACTAGCCCATTTTGACTCACATGCCATGATGAATATTGTTTGACTACAAGGTATCGACGAAGTACTTCGTTTTGCTATCTTGAAGCTTGTTGAGTTTGGCAACTACAATGGCAGCTGTCACCCATCATGTGCCTAATGAGAACTAGAAGTTTGAAGTTAATTGTAATATCATCCAAATGCAAGTAACATGGTTAATAAGTATTACAGGGGGAGGTCCCGAAGTAAACACTGCCTGGGGACCTCCTAGTGATATTGTATTGATTGAATACAAGGCAAGAAAGTGGCACGCAAAAGATAAGCATATTGGAAACACTAAATTGGAGTAAATAAAAAAAAATATATAAAGTTAACAAAGAACTAGGAAACCTAATTTAAAAACAAGAAATACAACAAATGTACGTAAAGTAAAAGAATGATACGTACATAACAAAAATTGATGCAAATTTCTTGTAGACAGGGCATAAAACAAAATGCACAGCACAAAAGAAAGAAAATAGAATGCAGTTGCTATAAAAATGGTAAAAAATAAATAATAATAAACTGAAATAAATGGGAAAGTGGAACCATTAATTGTTAAGAAAGATGTTGAAATAGATGTTTAATTAAACTTTAAATGATCTTATATGCATGGCAGCTTTTAATGAACTTGGGTAGTAAGTTCTAAAAGCTCCAAAACAGGCAATAATGCCAGGAAAAGTATAGGAGAAGATATTGGACCTAATTGTAATATGACGAAAAGGTAACTTGCCACCGGCAGGATCTGAATCTGCGGCCTTCGAATAGCGCATCCGATGCTCTACCACTGAGCTACAGTGGTCTTAATGCTTCCATCCACTTGATAGGGCATATATGTGCATTAAACATGGTGGCATCAGTCAGCGCCACCTGTTGCCATTAAGGTGAGTGTGGAACACTTTAAAATGCGAAGCATTTTTTAGCGAACTTCAGCGACTTTGATCGTATCTATATATCCACCAATCGATTGATCGGTCCGTCCGTCCGCTTACGTTCGGGTGCTCTCGTGGTCACCCCCTTAACTTCACGTGAACCAAAATTACCATTGGAGGGCAAGATGGTTTGACGAATATGACACGCTGGTCAAGGCATGAATAATGGCACAATCCCGTCGCATACGTCGTCAAACAATTCCCGCCAGACAGTGACACATACCCAAGGGCGGTTATGTGCCGCTGGTATGCGGGTATGTGCCACAGGTGATTAACCCTTAGTAGCTACCCAGGAACAACGAAAACACACATGGGCAATTTTAACGCATGAGCGTTAAGCAATACCCGACAGCGCTAGCCTCGACCCAAGGAAGGCACAGAATAAATATCAGTATTAAGAAAAGCCTGACATAAGCAGCATTCTCCCGACGAAAGCAAATAATAAATTTCAGGGTCCCAGCAGGAATCGAACCCACTTTTCCAATACATGCTAATCTTCGTGAAACGTCAATAGCCGTTGCAGTGCTTCCTACCCAGTTTTATGCATTTAAATTACAGTCACATTTATTAAGATCCCCTATACTTTCCCTTGCATTATTGTCTGTTAGTTCTTTTTAATGTTATGTCTAACGAAAAAACCAGCCCTTCAAAGTACACTTTCCTTCCGTCATGTGCTTGCGACGCGTGGAAGTGAGCATCTCGAGTCGTGTCACAATTCGCTCTCTGGGTGTTTGCCTGACCAGAACTTGCTTGGTAGCAAGTGTCTTGGTAGTGTCACTTTGGCAGATATATCTCTTGCTCAAGTTGGACATCTGCTTATTAAAGTGATTACAATGCTGCTGATTGCAAGCCACTAGATTCATTCCCATTTTCAAGTGTGGCACCTTGTAATCTTTTGTTGTCTGATGCACAGTCATTGAAATAATTTCTGGCATATATTTTATGCAAAGACTATTCCTGAGGTTCTGTTTTAGACCTTTCACTACACACAACTCTTAAGCTGAAGTGACAAATGTGTACACTGCATAAAAAGACGAACAAGATGTGCATTTTAAAATATAGGTGGGTACTGCAGCATGTGGATTTTATTTGCTCACTGTAATGATAAAGTTGTCTTAGTAAACTTCACTGTAATGCAGATGTGTTATGCAGTGAAGGTCACTAGTGGCAGAGGGAATTAAGGTACACGCAGTGAAGCATACTATCTCCTCCCATTTTTCATACAAAGAAGAAAAAAGAATGATCACGCTGCGTAAAGAACATAAAACGCTTCTTGATCTAATACACACAGAATAATAAAGCATAAGTTACAAGTGAATAAGTAAGCATTTATGCTTTATTTGTGGTCTTACAGCAACAGACCATTAAAATTCTGCTTTTTGAAATCTCGGTAAGCTGTCCAAGATGTACTGTGTCTAGATAATCTCCTGATAGGCACATACTACATTTCAATGCGTCGAACTAGTTCATGACCACTTTTAAGCGCCATGCATTTCAGTTCAACTGCAATACATAATGTGTGTTATTACCAGATCCACTTTCACGCGAAACACTTGCTTTTGTGGAGCATTTCGGCACTCATTACTGACACCACTCGGTAATATGTATGTAAAGTTTTGGTTTTTTTTCTGCTGCTTATAGAAGGAACGCTGTTCATATGTCAACCTACACAAAGGTGCTTATGCTTGTGGTTGGTTTACAATCTCGAGTGTACCTATCAGATTTCACTTTTAAAGAGTGACAAACCTCCCTGCATCCTATTATTTTTTATTTTAGTGTTGAACGTTATACGATGTATATTCACCTGTCACACTGCCATAACTACATTACAGCACATCTTCGAACGAAAGTGCTGGAGCAAAACGTAATCCCCCCGCCAAGCCACCCAGACGACGGCACTCGGTCACATCATTGAAAGGTTGGTGCGCCTATAGAAATGCTTTCGCGTTAAATATGTAACCTCTGGGAATAGTGCTGAGTGTGTTAGTAGAGGAAGCTGACTATCTCTTGGGAAATACTGGCTCTGTTGACCGTAACACCATGCTTATACTTCATTGTTATTAAAGGGCCACTCACCAGGTTTAACAATTTTGAGCTGACAAGCGCAATGCATAGACGAGGCGTTCATGATCACGTCTGCCAAAATTTACAACGCTACGCGCCGCGGAAATGGGTCAAATTTCAAGATGAAAGGTGCTCACCTTCCCCTCTGCGGGCGCACGCGTAGAGAATGAGGGCATGACGTAGGCGTAAGAATGGCCCTACGTTCACGGCAATGCAGTGACGTTAGTCCTCTACGTAGACGACTGTGCTCTGACATTGTCAACAGTATACCACGCGACATGGCAAAATTTATTTAACACAACATGCGTAGTTTATGTATTCGTTGGTTTAAGACCTGAATAAAACTTGAAATAAATAATGAGATGCAATAAAAATTTGTGCGTGTTTTTCTTCCATTTTTTCCCGTGAAATGCTACGAGATGCGAGGCTAATGTGCCAGCGTTTCCCATGCGTTCAGGTCCCCACGGCCAGCGCATTGAGCAGACGACCGCCCTGGAACGCTCCTACGCGTTCGCTCACTCATTGTACTCATCTACTCTACCGCGTCTAAGCCAGCGCTTCCAAACAATCCCGCAGAAACAGGCAGAAGACCACAAAATAAGGCCGGCCAACAAAGCAACGCCGCTCGCGTGCACGGGGGCTGGGCTTGTTCGGGCACGTCATGCGCACGTCACCTCTTGGTCGTATGCCGGAGAGTGTGGAGAAGAGATTTGGCTTGCGAAGGCTACGCGGATGAGCGGCAAGGGTTTCGAGATCGCCTCCTCTCACTCTCATTTCGCGCCGCTTCAAAAAACCTGTTTTCTCCGCTCGTAATGAACCGATTTGAAAAATTTTTGGGGCAGAACGTTCCTCATCGGACACCCAACAACTTCCAGTGTCTAACTAAAATTCGGTATGGGGCCTGGTGAGTGGCCCTTTAAGCATCATTTTAACTAGTAATATTTATTTTAAAAAAAGAATCTTAATAAATAAGTGTTTAAGGCAGGGAGACAAGATCTCTCCTATACTATTTACCACGTGTTTACAGGAGGTTTTCAGGGCCATAGATTGGGAAGAGTTATGGATAAGAGTACATGGAGAGTACCCTAAAAACCGGAATATTGGTAGACCCCCCCAGACTTTGAATCTAGAAAAAGAAAATTTTTAAAAATCACAAAAGTATCATGGCGCACCCTTACCTTGGCAAATACGCAACACCACCAGCTTCACTGTGGTCACATTTTTTTTCAAGTGGATGCTAATCTTATATAGTTGAATGCCAGGAGGCCAGAAAGTGCTGTACTCAGGCTCGTCCGAACTTGAGCTCGACGACGTCTGTTTTTCACTAAAAACGTCCCAGAGTGAATCGTCCTCTGTTCCAGCCAATGCGTTACTGATGCAGCATTTCCAAAAAGATGCAGATTTGCAAAAAGATGCCTCAGCATAAAGCCCTTCCGCTTCATAGACTAGTGCACCCACAATAGGGATCCCTTGAATGGCACCCTCCTGAGCCCAGAGTTGCGCGCTATCTCGAAAGCTTTCACGCGGATGCACTCTGCTGTTAGGTTTAGCGGCCTTGCATGCAGCTCCCGGACGAATTCGGCGAGTAGTGTTTCCAGTTCAGGGTGCACTGCAGTCCGTCCCCGAAACGATTTTTTTTTTGCTGCAAGATGTGGTGCGCTGCTTTTGGCTCCTCCAGTATAAGACACTCTTCTCCGATGCACGGAGTTCCCATTGTGTCATCAGGTTCTCGTGCCTTCCGGGATTCTGGATACCTTTTTTCTTAAAGCCTATCGTAAACTTTCGTCGACTACCGCTCCTTTCTGAAGGAAAATAGAAAAAAGAAAACAACAGACTGACAGCAAATAACCAACCTCTTTCTAACCTCTTTCTAGACACGGAGTCGTACAGCAGCCTGTGTCGACCCTCGCCAAGCAGCACCTCTGCACGCCAGGGGCGTCGGGGCGATAGCGAATCCTGGGCTGACCATGGCCAGTGGATCCTCGATCCGCCGCCAAACTTTGGCGGTGGTGCTCCCCCTTGCTTCTCGCTGAGCTATGGGGGTGCTCGGAGCGGATGTGGTGGGAGTAGCACGCCAACGTCTGACAGCCGAAATGACTTTCGCTCCCTGCCGCTCAGCGTTGCACAGGAGCGCAAGCTGTGTCATTCAACGGTGGGTGCAGAGAGATTTTGTTGTGCTTGCTTTGCATCAAGAAACTGACATATTTGTAGATTACATTAACATTTAATGCGCACTCACTAGTAATGCATCCTTCAATCAATCAATCAATCAATGTTTCTTTATTAGCATCAGAAGTGTACATTGTAAGTAAGTATGCAGGAGGAGGTCCCAAGGTAGTAAACCGCAGGTGGGACCTCCTATGTTACTACAATGAAAAGGCTAAGATATGATTATCGAAAGAGCAAGTCACAGAACATTTTGAACTTTTTTTTTCTACAAACAAAGCAAGGTATCAAAACTTAACAAAATCTAGCAGTTATACGTTTATTAGAGACTTTTTCAATTTCCCCTTAAAAACATGAATGTGCATTAAGTCTTTCACATCATGTGTCAAAGAATTCCATAATGAAATTGATGAAAAAACAATGCTCATTTTTTCATAATTAGTGCGAACTTTAGGTAGTAACAGGTTATGGGCAACCGCGAATCTAGTATTATTTGAATTATCCAACAAGGTAATAGGAAAGATGTCGATGGTGAGGGTACGGTGGAAAATTTTGAAAAACAAAACACACACATTGTAAACATACATTTGGGAGATCGGTAATACGTCAAGCTGGCGAAAAATCTCATGTGATGGCGCTTGACGTGGAGCGAAAGTTATGAGTCGAATTGCTTGTTTTTGCAATACCTTCAACGGCCAAATGTGCACCGAATATGAATTACCCCAAGATGTAATGCAATAACTGAGATGACTGTGTATGAATGCATAATACAGTGCCTTAAGAGTTTTGATGTTAAAACACATTCGTGACTTGACCAATGCCCTGATACCGTAGGAAATCTTTTTACAAACAGAATTGATATGTTGCTGAAATTTCAGATGTGTGTCCATTATAACTCCTAAAAATTACGTATGATCACTTAAAGGAATAACTACTGAGTTCACATTAAGGTAAGGAATAAATGATAGTTTTTTTTTTGGTGAATAAAAAAGCATAAAACAGGTTTTGCAAGGATTAATCAACAATCTATTACAGTTGCACCAGTCAACAAGACAATTAAGGTCAGCTTGAAGTCTTGACACGAGAGTCGCTAAATCCAAGTGATGTGAAAAGAGAGTCGTGTCATCAGCGTAAAGTAAACAAGAAGAATAATTAAGGCAACATGGTAAATCATTTATGAATAATAAAAATAATAATGGACCCAAAATTGAACCTTGCGGAACACCTCTTATAATGGGGTTGGGACTGGATGTAAAATTATCGACCGAGACCACCTGCAACCTATTAAGAAGAAAGCTCTGTAATAGCGTTAATGTGGGACCAGTTATGCCATAGTACTCGAGTTTGCGAAATTGGATGAAATGATCAATACTGTCAAATGCTTTAGTAAAGTCGACGAAGACAGATCCTGCGATGTTACCATTATCAATGAATGATCTGATTTTGTCAGTGAAACAAGCAATTGCAGTATCAGTGGAAAGACCAGCCCTAAAACTAAACTGACAAGGAGAAAGTATGTTAAATTTGCTTAAATATTGGTAACTTGTGTCCTGACATCCATGACTCATGATCTTCTCAAGTCCTGGCCCTTAAATATAGACTCACATGCTTATTTCATCTTCAGAAGAAAAAGAAAATGTGACTTATTTTTTCTTGTGGTTCAATTGGAAGGTCATTGCTGGGTGCTTCTTCGGAGCATCAAAAGTTAATGAATGATCTAAATGAGCTGTTAGAAAAACAAAGTTTGTTGCTTGTTTTTCGAGAATTCACAGCTGGCTTCTGCGCAACTTTTTTAGCTGTTGTCATGACGCTCAGAACAGCATAAATCAGTGGTGCACGAAAACATTCACGAGCTTGGCTATCATCTGGCAAGGTTATACAATAGGAAGACCGAAGGAACGCAGACGAGCGCTGACTCCAACTTTCAATACTATAAACAATACTTAACATCATTTTTGCGCTTCAAGAAGTTTCATGACTTGCAGCCCATCCAACCAGTGGGAACGTCAACGCGCATCGGTCTGCACGCCAGACCATCACATCTCCCGACCAGCACAACGCCTGTGCATTATGCCAATTTCCCGCCGAGCCCTGTTGCAAGCTCCGAGCGGGACATCCCTGATGTTGTATCCCGACCCATCCTAGTGGCTGCCTCAGTGGCTACTTCCGGCTCCCTAAGTACCTCCAGCTGCCGCCGAGGATGCAGTGAAGGCGACAGGTCGGCGGCAGTTGCGGCCGGTGCCAATGGTGGTTGCGCGCCGGCCTGGCTCTCAGCATCTCCTGGCAGCCCACGCCGCATCTTCGGTGCCATCCAGGCTGTTGGATATTCCAGTGACCTTAAAACTTCGGGACACAATGTCCGTCGACACTGAGCTCCACGCCGACAAAACCCAACCGAGAACAGTAGCAAGCGGTGCCCTCTTCAGCCGTCCGGTTGGCGTCTGCTCATGATTGCCGGTTGCCACCCATTCCGTGTAGAGTCTTCGGAATTCAACTTTGAATGGTCGATTCACGCTCACATCCAATGGTTGCAACATTCCTGTGAGGCCGCCTGGAATCACGGCCATGTCTGTGCCGACACGGCGCAGCTGCTCCTTCACCTTATCGGTAAGGTGGCCGCGGAAACTATCCAATACTAAAAGTGAATGTTTGGCCAACAAAGCTCCCGGTTCTGCCAAACACTTTTCACCCAGTCTAGCACCAAATCATCGTTCATCCATCCCTTCTCTTGGGCTCTAACTATGATGCCCTTGGGGAAAACTTCGTTCGGAATTCTTTTCCTTTTCAAAACAACGTACGGGGGTAGCTTCCGCCCGTCCGCGGTCACACAAAGCATCACGGTGCAGCGTTGGCGCTCAGCGCCGGTGGTCCGCACGGCGACACTCTTCTTGCCTTTTACTTCGACTGTGTAGTTCTCGGGAGAGTCAAACCACACAGGAGTTTGATCAGCGTTCGCTATTTGCGACAATAAATAACTGTGCTGATGGCGCAGGCCGATGACATGCTTGTGAAAACTAAGCACCTTGTCGGTAAAGTCTTCTGGCAGCCGCTGGCACAGCGTGGTCCTTCGCCGAAAAGAGAGTCCCTTTCTTTTCATAAACCTTCGCACCCAGCCTTGGAATCCCCGGCCGGTATATTTTTCGCACGTGCCAAGGCTAATGCCTTGATGCGCAGCATGTCTGTAGTGAGCGCAAAACCATCGTTCCGCACCTCAGTCACATAGCGGAGCAACTCCTCTTCCAAATCCGGATACTTGCACTGTTTTCCTCGGAAAGCGCGCTTTTTGATGTTGGTGTTCTGCAAGGCTTTCTTCTGGGCGCACCAACGTCGAACACACTTCTCGTCAACGTCGAATTTTCTGCCGGCGGCCCGTTTCCCGTGCTCGAGAGCAAACTCGATCACCTTCAACTTATAGCCAGCTGTATAGCTATTCAGCTGCTTGCCCATCGTGCCAAAACGTAAACGTCCCGCAGAAAACTAGATAGAGTCCCAGAGTCATTCAACGGTGCGCAAAACTCGAGCACATGGCAGGCTGAACAGCACAATGACCGAACAACGCACAAATACCAAAGTTGGTGATGCTAATGCCGATATGGATAGCGCGTTGTATAGAAGTGTCAGTAGTTAAAGATAAAATCCCGCTTTAACCTTTAGTTGGCGGGTGTATGAACACTACTAAAAAAACTAAAATTTTTTAGCCAACTTCATGAACATATTAGCAAAAAGAAAACCAACAAATTATTCTAATGATGTACTATATGGTGATGATGAGAATTGCGTTCTCTAGCGCCATCAACTGACAACGCCTAGTAGCTCACACACGCGCGCGCATTTTGAAAACGCATGGGTCAAGGAAAGTGCGGATGCGGCCCTTACACAACAACTTTTTTTTTTAATATATGCTTCTTAAAAACGGGAAGCGGCCCTTACACGGGTGCGGCCCTTACACGCGTGTATACGGTAGTTCTTGGCCTTACAGTGATTTGTTGATGGCCTATTGTATTTGCTTGAATTTAAGTTGCACCCAATCTTCACAACTTCAAAATAGGGTAATGCAAATGCAAAGCTGCCAGATCTTTCTAACGAAACTACAGCGTACCTCCACATTGATCGTAATTGATGACAAGCTGTATTTTTCTTTGTAAAGTGTTAAGTTTATTCGTGTTTTATTTTTTTAATGTTGATGTTATATATTTGTAAGTACAAAAGTCGATGCGTGGAAGACTTGATCTAAGAGTGAAAAAACATGCATGGTTTAAACTAACAAAGTAGAGACAGTGCTAGCATTACGTCCAACTCTGTAGCACTTGTCCCATTTGTTCCATTTTTTGCGTGTGCCTTAGCAGTTTTTTTTTCCACACTTAGATCCTGTCTTCTTGGTCCTATCTTTAGCGTTTCTCATTTTGGTGCGAACATTGATGTCTCAGCCATAGCTGGAATGTTCCGTAGGCATTCTTAATCTAGATACAGTGCTGGTATCTGTTATTGAAGCAGCCAGTCCACCGTGCGTAGTCTGATAAAAAGTGTAACTGGCTTGTCATCCAGGTCAAGCGTGGTCGGTAGCAAGCAAGACCCTTCTGCAACATTGCGTGCACGAACAGTGATACCCGAAGAAATGAAAGCACTGCAGGAAATTAATGCCAAGGTGAGCTTCATCGTAAAGGCATCAAATTTTATTTAAGTTTAATGTAACAGTTCTCTTATTTAGTAATGTGGTTACATCCTTTTTATGGTGTCATGCTGATTGGCTCGTGCTAACTGTAATTGGTAGGGCTTAGGTACTGCATGCAGCCGCTCTGATAGTCAATTGAACAACCAAATAAACTAATTCAGATAATGAAAATAGTTTTAATTATCGCAACTCTAGTTGTAAATTTCGGAACAACTTCACAGAATCTATCTTATATTTTGTTCATTCCTGCTTTTTGCTCAGGTAATTCTGTAACTGTGGTGTTGTGCTGATTGGCTCAGGATCGCTATCATGAATCTGAAAGAACAGAGCACAAAGTACTACTTAGAAAAAACAAAAATAGTTACACCATGAAATCTGCACCAAAATGTCAAAGTGGGCAGGTTATGTATTCATTTTTGTTGAAGAAAACAAAGCTTGTTTTGTGTACGCTGTTTTCTTCAAGAAATGATAACGGCGAGCTCCTGCTCATGTTTGGGGAAAATTTTATGCACATGATTTTGTATTTGTGAGCCTCCACGAACCAGCTTGACGACGTAATTTGCAGGCTGATTCATGCATTAAATTTGTAGTCAAGTGTTTAGGCCATGTTTTGGAGGGAACGAATAATTGGTTGATAGCACGAAAAGTTCTGTTGTTGTAAAAAGGCCAAGTAAAAAAAAATGGCCCCGTATCTGCGTGTTTCACTGCAAATGTCGTCGAAAGACGATAGTCTTGCGTCTGGAGAAAGTGAACAAAACGTTTATTTGATGTTTTGGGCGAGTAAATCAGCAAATTCTATTCTGGAGGCACTGCGTTAAACTGCCTCGATGCGTGCAACGAAGGCGAACGAGCGCATCGAGGCACACGTTAAAGAACCCCAGGTGGTCGAAATCTCCGGAGCCCTCCACTACGGCGTCTCTCATAATCAAATGGTGGTTTTGGGACGTTAAACCCCACAAATCAATCGAGCGCATCGAGGCACATGAGACATGAGCGCTATCTGGCAGTTATCTTCAAAAGTGAAGGATGGTGTGCGCGCTTGTCTCGGAGGTGATAAGGTGCAGACGCAAAGTGACGGGCAGGTAACACCATTGTGTCGTCTTAGCAAAGCGTTGGAGACACTTGCTCTTTTGTGCATAGCGTTGCATTATCAGCGCAGTGTGATGAACGCTGCGGTCCTTAGAATTATTTATGTATGGCTTCTCTAGTATAAAGACACACATACAGATTATTGACCTGTTGTTATGGTGCCTCAGATATGCGCAATAATTGCTTTTTAATTGACAATCGCGCAAGTATGAATGCTGAAACTTGAGCAATATTGGCGGGTGCTGCTGATGGGGTTGGATTTCGGCCGTTTGGGAAATCGTTTCGGCGGACAAATAGATGGACAGACAGACAGACCTAAATTTTTACGTCGAAGTACCCTAAGAAAGACTATCGTTCTTAATAAACCCGCATTCCAGAGCTTTAGTGGAAGCCGCAATAACACCTGTTTTGTACATTGGTGGGCGTAGAAGAGCCCTGGACTGTGAAAAATGACTCTAGATGCCCATATTTGCCATTGTAGAAGTTGGAGTTTTGATCTTTATTGGCTGAAAAATAGTTGTTATTAACTCACTGCTGCTGTGCTATCCATTCTAATGACTGTGTCATCATGCAGCTATGGAACCAGGTGCAGCACCTTCAATCGCAGCTGGAACTGCTTAGAAGGATTAAGTCGCCGGATAAGACTCCCTCCACCTCTCTGAACGGTGTCAGCTTCGCTGGTGCGTGGTGTGCCTTTATAGTCCTGTTATCTTTTTTTTTTTTCACTTTTTTTAGAACTATTTCAACTGTCTCTAGCTGGTTAGTGCAACACGTTGACATTTGGAAAGATTTCTAAACACACTTACTACCGTATTTACTCGCATAATCCTCGCACTTTTTTTGCCAGAAAAACGATGCAAAGTTGGGGGGTGCGAGAATCACGCGGGGAAAACGTTCTACGAAAACGCAGAGAGCGAAAAAGAAAGCAAGTGGCCGCAAATCGGAATTCTCACAAAAGCACCTTACAGCAAGCTTTAAGAAGTACTAATTAGAACTTACCTCAACAATAAAAGCGGAGGCTCAACACAAGGCAAGATTTATTTGGGACACAAAAAGTGCAAGCAAATAGTCGAGAATTAGAATACCATACGCGAAGCTTGTTGGCGTAGCGGTAGCGGTCGGCGCTCAAAAGGAGCCTTCAAAAAGTAAGCGTAGGACCTCAGTATTGGGCTAATGGCTATTTAACAGAATCGTCCGCAGTTCCCTTCTGAAGAAATAAAGTTTACCATCAATCCCAGTTTTAGGCACACGGCAGGCCCAACAAGTCTTGGTGGCTTTCAGCTGCCGTCACCAGTAGCAAACACAAAACTCGTAGGCTCCGAAGGGCCTACCGGCGGCCCTGTTGCCGTTGTTTAGTGCATGATCTATCACTTGCAACTTGAAGCAGTCGTGTGGCTGCAGTATCGCCCCATAACGTGCCAAGATTACCGACACAACACACAAACACGCCGCAACGCGCACTGGCTACTTCGGCTTGGCTTGGCTTGGATCAGATTTCCGTGCAATAGTACGCTTGATGCTTAAGAGATGGCGCCAGATGGTGCACGCTATCATCATCAATGGTTGGAACGAGCAGACGACTTTTTTGCGGCAGTTTTCGGGGGTGCGATAATTACTCGAGGAAAAAATAATCGTATTTTTTGGGGGGCGATGGGGGGGGGGGGGTGCGAGAATTATGCGAGTGCGAGGATTACGCGAGTAAATACGGTAATATGAATCTGCCAGAGCAGCTCTTCAAAGAATGTGGTGTGTGCCCGAATTGGCTCTCCTGCAGCAGCATTCGTTTTTTCCAGATAACAAGTGTTGTGCCAATGACATGTGGGATGTGTACAGAGTGATGCAGTTTTCAAAACACATTAGCTCAGCAGTTACCGTCATTTTCATGCACTGGTTCTCTTCAGGGCCAAAGTTATTTGTGCAGTTTTATCTAAGCAAGCCAACTAACACCATCAAACTTGTCATGCTAGGGAACACTCCTGCGATACATATTGTTCTAATTGTTTTGTGAACACGAGCGAAAGGCTGCTCAACTATTCGTAGTCAGTCGGTCATTGATAGTGGAAGCTAACGCATCTTCTCGAGTAGTAAAATTGCATCTACATTCATAAAAAAACGAGATAGTTAAAGAAAACTTTGATCTCTGCAGAACTGTTGGCCGACGTGTACTATGCACAGCGAGAACGGGATGACTCCATCAGCGAGCGCCTGGCAAGTGCCAATCAAAGCCTGGACCTGTACCAAAAAGAACTGCAGAAGCTAGCAGAAGCAAGGTGAGGTCTCCCATCCTTTCCTGCTCCTCATGTTTCGACTGCAAATGCTATCTCCCGCCTCCAAACACAAATGAAATTTTGTCACTTTTAGCAGTAATGCAGACTACGCTTATTGTATCTGGTTTTCTGGTTGATGCTGTTAGTCCGATACAGTCGAACACAACTTAAGTGCTGGGGGGCTCCACCCGAATGAAGGAAACATGGCAGCCAATTGCCTCTGCAACTAAAGAAATAGCATTGCTCATGTGCTCGGAAATGTTCTCCAAACGCGGGGTCAATGGCGGTCTGGCTCACGCCGTCAGTCTGGAGTACGCATTCATTTGTGCAGGCATTGTGTGAATCCACTTTTGAGGAGGTGGATGCTGCTGATCTCTAACATTGCATCCGGCTATAGAAAAGATTGTCACAGCAGCGCTAGTACAGAGGATCACGTATGATGTTTCTCAAATAATCTTAAAACTTGACTTATCACAGCAGATAAAATAGGGATAAGGCAATCAACTTCGATCAATTTTCATCTGTATAGCTATGTATAACCTCTAGTGTGAAATAACATCAGGGATAAATGCCAGTTTACCCGAAATATTCACTATGTTTACAATTTAAGACTCTTTCTGTGTGTTTCCTAAATGTTCTGGCATGTTTTACATGAAATAAATCTTGGTGGAAATGTTGCCCATCAGAGGGGCACCCATGCCAGGCATTTATTTGGAAATGTCACTGGAGCACGCAAAATTGCCAACGGCAAAATCGCTAAAAGCGGTGATCTTGAGCGTGTTGCTTGCCAATTTGCGGTGTTATTGGTTATCTGGTGCTTGCATCTTCATGCAACAGTCAGTCATCAATAATGAAGTGTACATGTGTGTGTGTGTGTGCCAATGGCAAACTTCAAATGTAGGCTATTAATTGCAAAGCATTTCTTAGCGAACTTCAGCGACTATGAGCGTATCTATCTAGTATCTATATATCTAGCCGCTTACGTTCGGGTGCTCTCGTGGTCAACCCCTTAACTTCACGTGAACCAAAATTACCATGGGAGGGCAAGATGATTCGACGAATATGACGCGCTGATCAAGACATGAATAATGGCACAATCCCGTCGCGAACCTCGTCAAACAATTCCCGCCAGGCAGTGGCATATACCCAAGGGCGGGTATGTGCCGTTGGTATGCGGGTATGTGCCACAGGTGATAAACACTTAGTAGCTACCCAGGAACGACGGGAACACACATGGGCAATTTTAACACGCGAGCGTTAAGCAATACCCGACTGCGCTAGCCTCGACCCAAGGAAGGCACAGAATAAATAACAGTGTTAAGAAAAGCCTGACATAGGCAGCGTTGACCCCCCGATGAAAGCAAATTATAAATTTCAGGGTCCCAGCAGGAATCGAACACAAGCATTTTGCGTGGCAGTCAAGCTTTCTACCACAGAGCTACGCCAGGTCTCAGAACTACTTTCAAATAGACACTAATCTTCGTGAAACATCAACAGTGGTTGCAGTGCTGCCTACTCAGTTTTATAAACATTACATATGTACTCTTTTGATGCATCCTTCACGTCGGGTTAACGTCAATTGTGGTTAAGTGCCATGCGCTGAAGTTGGTTTATGTAGCAGTGTCCAGGACCAGCATCTTCGTCGGCATCAGCCCTTCGTATCATCTTCTGGTGTTGCTAATACGCATGTTCTAGTTGACATTGTTGCGTGACCGGAAACGACTGGTTATATAAACATCTGCAATTCTTCGAGATATGTTTGGGGGTGCAACAGTTGTACCTATATTTAGCGTCATTTTATGACGTATATATATCGCTCATATAGCATTGATATATGGCACAGGCAGGAGCGCCAGTGAAAGAAGAGAAGGAAGAGTGTTGTTGCTGCGCGCGCTCGCTCCGCTTGACAGCTGCTCGGCTTTACCTCTGCGTTTCCCCCAATAAAGGTGTCTTCGGCTCACTGCTAAAGGCGTACTAACAAGTGTTGGAGAGTGCTGGATCCATTTCCGATCCTGGAACTCCGCAATCAAACTCTACCTGCGCCGTCAACGATGTCCACCGACGTTACACAGCTGACGATTCCTACATCTCCACCTGCCCACTGTCCTGAGAGAGCGAGACCCAGTCATCTTCAGCGGCACCGATGAGCAGGACGTCGAGGACTGGCTCTCTTCGTACGAGAGAGTAAGCGTCAATAATAGGTGGGACGAAAATGACAAACTTGGCCGCGTCCGCTTTTACCTGTGAGGAGCAGCGGAGCTCACACGAGGGACACGAGCGCTCGTGTCCTTCATGTCCTTCTTGTATCTGTGTCATCGTTTTGTTCTCGTGCTATAACTATCGTCATGCCATACCAACTAGCCCAAGCTGCCACACTTGTATGGAGAGGGTTTCACATCCTACATCAAGGACATTGTGGGCCTCTGCCGTCGCTAAAATCCCGACTTGTCCGAAACAGCTAGGTGAAACATATTATGAAGGGCATCGAAGATGATGCCTTCCACATGCTGCTGGCGAAAAACCCGCAAATAGTTGAGGAAGTTATTCAGCACTGCCAAAACTACGATGAATTGCAAAAACAGCGCATTTCAACGCGACGCCCTACTTTCGACATGACCACCACGTCACCATTGACCGTTGGTGCAATTTCACCGGAACAGACAGTATTGACGCCGCAAATCCAACAATTCATACGAGAGGAAGTGGCTCACCAGTTCTCTTTTGCGCCCTTGCTTCCCAGCAATACTCACGGGCTGACCTCGTCGCTGCGCCGAACCATAGAAGAGCAAGTCTGCAAGGCCCGCCCACGTACCAGCCACCGCCTGTGTCCGCTCCCCTTACTTACGCTGACGTTGCGCGAAGGCCGGCACATGCGCCGTCAAACGTCGTCGACTCTGCCCACCAAATGAACGCCTCCTACGCAACACATGTACCGGTTGGTTCGCATGTTCCCCTTTCCTGCCGTCCTTCAACACTTCCCAACAAACCTTGGCGCACACCGGATAACAGGCCCATCTGCCACTACTGTCGTCTGCCTGGCCATGTTGAGCGGTTCTGTCGCCGGCGCGTCCCTCCTCTAGGTACCATTGATGAAACCTACGGCTACGCCCACAAAGAGCCACCACAGATGCTGTCTCTCGATGCCACTTTGGATACCCCTCCACCGAGCCTCCGCGCCTTCAAACAGCACCGATCGCCCTCCCCACGCCGACTTTCACCTTCACCGATGCTTCGGCGTGCACCACCTGCCCAAATGGAAAACTGATCATCGCAGTTCCGGAGGCAAGAACTGCGCCACCGTCGAACTTTACAAGGCCTCGTCCTCTACCCACTAACGAAATAACTGTTTTTATTGAAGGTGTTGCCGTTAAAGCATTAATCAATACTGGAGCTGCCGTGTCTGTATTGAGTGAAGCAATGTGTCGCAAGTTAAAAAAAGTTACGATTCCGCTTTCTGGCTTCTCCCTGCTTACATACGTGCACAGCTCGGCTACTCATCCATGACGTTCTGTATATGGTCGAATTCATCGTTTTTTCTCATACTGCTCGCACGACGTGTTCCAGCCGACGGAAGTTCCAGCCGACGTGCTCGCACGACGGCTGGAACTTCCTTTCGACACATCATGCCATTGTTGATTGTGCCCGGGCCGAACTAGAATTATCATCACTTGTCGATGACGATTCTAACAAGCCTTCCATTTCTCGTGTTGTCGTCGCCGCAGACACGGATATCCCACCTATGTCTTCGGTTATTGTGCCGATCTCCTGCCTGTGCCATATATCAATGCTATGGCTTTACCTCTGCGTTTCCCCCAATAAATGTGTCTTCAGCTCACTGCTAAAGGTATACTAACACTCAATAAAAAAAAATTGAAACACAGCCACCTTCCTTCCACATGCTTCGCATAATGCCATTATCCAGGTACGGAGGATCTGCCGGATTTTTTCCTCCTCCTCCTTCTGATGATCCATCCACAAGATTTGTATGATTCCTAAAGACAAAAGGTTAAGAGCAATGATAGTTTTGTTATCACGGTTTTCTGAGTACTGACAAAACTGGCATATTGCATGTCAATCTGTTTCTTTTCAGGAGTGATGCATCAGATGGCTCAAGTGATGAGGAGAACTGCGACAATTTGGTGCTGAGTGTGAGTCAGGATTGTTGTTTTATTTTGGTTTTTTTCGTTTGTTATGATGCCCGCTAAGAGAGCTTTGACGACATTCGTTTAACATAATTGGTAAAACTGCAGCAAAATGGCTCTTACTTCAACATTTTTAAGTGGTCCTGTCCTTGCTTTCTAATGCTACTTTAGGTTCTTGTAGCTAGGTTAGTTTCACCCATTAGTGTCTTGTGAAGCTGTTGTGCAAGTGTATGTTTTAGCTTCGGTACTATATCATACAGATAGTATGGCTGCTAGCAATGCAAAATTATAAGTTTTTTTACTGATAGACCGTGTTAAAGGGACTATCGGTAGTATAACTGTCAGCGGTAATGTCAACAGTGCTGTGGTATGAAAAACCATTGATAGAATATGCATTGCAGTAGTTCGTTATTGATGCTGCAATCAATAGTTATGCAATTCTTCGGTAGTGACATTACCAGAAAGTTCTGAATAACTGACTTTCATGACACACGTTTTGTGAAATTGGAGAGTGGGAAGCATTGCCATGTTTTTATGTCGCAATGTTTAAGAGGCTGTATTTCATATGGTTTGGCATTGTGGATAAGATGCTATTCTGTATAGTACTATTAATGTTTATTTTTATACCTTAAAAGCCTCTTCAGGCATCACTCAGGGGTGTGGTCAGCAACAGTAGCAGAGATAGAAAGAAATGCCAGTAAGGTGCAGTGTGACAATGATATGCAGTCCAAAATTTCACTTGCAAGTGAGTATTTGTCATAGTAGTGATCACACTTTTAGCAACATTCCAAACTAAATTATAAAAACTTAACTATCGGTAGGTAAGAGATACAATTTTCTTTGGTAATTTATTTCAGGTGATGCATTTCCTAAAGAAATGGCTAATGATAAACAAGCAAACAAGTCATTGCATGCAATCGTATCATTAGTGTGTTATTGACAGCAGTGTTGATGGCATACTATTAGTAGTTTGATGAGTAGTCTGTGTATTGTAGATACAATCAAACCTCATTATATTGAACACAGATATAATGAAATATCGGGTGTAATGAAGTAAATGAAAAATAGTCTTGCAATAGAAATAATGTTAGAATAACCTTTGTAACGACATTTCGGATATAACAAACTTATTTTTTTGTAAGATGCAACTTTGTTATAATGAAGTTTGAGTGTAGTTTGATAGTCAGTAGATTGATAACCACTAATTTGTTGGTAATATTGATAGATAGATCCCCGGCATCTCTGGTGGCTGCACGATTTTCTCTGCATTAATTGTTGCTCGCCTGTGGTACCATTATCGTTATTTTTTCTTTGCAGGGTCTCGACAAGATTCTGCAGGGCCTGGAGAGCAGTTGGGCACCAGCACGGGTGGCGCGGCACCAGGAGACCCTGCTGGCAACCGTGCAGCGTTTGCGCGACCACCGAGGCAAGAGGGCACGGCATCGACTGCGGGCTATTCAGGCTGAACGAGATGTCGCGCTTGAAAAGGTAACAATCATCTGAAGCGGACAGTTGAGCTACCGCGTTTACTCGAAACGTAACGAAAGTTTTTTTTTATGGATTCTTGCTCTTTAAAGTCAATTCTTGTGTTACAATCGAATACCAAAGTAACTATTTCTTTTTTCCTGGACGCGAGAAAAAGTTTTCTTGCATTAGAATCATGGTCATGTTACGATAGAGTAACTATGGTAGTTAGCTCTTCGACCACAAAAGCTAATTTCAGGAGCCACCAAGAGGCATTCTTAAAGCACTGTGTTGCAAACCAAGGGGACCTGCCATTTGAATTATTCCTTGCTTGATGGAGTCTAGAAAGACCTCAAAAGAATTCACGCTTCCGGCGTTTCAACAAGACATGTTTGTCTCGGTTTGCTACCTTTCCACGGTTGTGAGAGACCACATTGTTCGTCGTTGAGGGAGTAAGTGCCTCTCGGTGCCATCCTGTTCTCATGCGTACTGTTGCTCAAAGCTGATTGTGCGTGTGCCTTTTCGTGTTCCCAATTTAAAGTTTTCTTTTGTTTCCTCGTTTGTTCAGTGCAAAGTTCTCGAGAAGGAAGTTCAGGAGCTGCACATGAAAGCCATCTGGAAGAGTGAGAACTGGGGATGCTCGAGCAATGTGAGCAACAACTTCCTTGTGTCTATTATTCTCAGCAAAGCCCAGTAGTAACACCTTTTTCATGTGCTTCTGCCGTCAGCCCGACACCAGTAAGCGCAAAACAGTTAATGCACAGCAATTGTTGAGCACAAATTCAAGTGTCCTGACATGTAGCTTAACGTGATTATGAGGCATGCTGTAGTGGCATACTGGTTAATTTTAACCACCTGGTGGTTATTAGGTGTACCTGAAGCAGCATGCAGTTGTTCCTCGCTTTTCAACCCATCAATATGCAGTCACTGTCGCTGGAAATTGAACTCTTGCCCTCGAATTGAACAACCTCACACCTTACATGCCAAGCTACCACCGCGGGTGTCTATTAACAGGGTCTTGCTGTGTCACCTCAACTGTTGAACAGATGTCGTGACTATTGTCTTGTCTTGTTTGCCACGAAACAGGAATTTTTTTGCAGTCGTACTGTTGATGTGTAATCTAATCTTTGCCTAGCCAGCCTGTAGCCTTCCAGATGTCGCTTCTGCGCCTGCGCGTTACCGTATTTACTCGATTCTACCGCGCCCTCAATTGTAACGTGCACCCGGTTTCCACGACGAAAAAAAAAAAGTAAGACATCAATTGCAACGCGCACCCATTTTTCCCGTTGGCCCGCACGATCACACCACTCGAAAAAACGACTCCTTTCGGGAGCATCTTCCATTTAAATATGAGGTACGGGGGAAGCTTGTGCCCATCTGACATGTAACACAGCTTTGCCGTCACTGTGGTTTTACCGTGGACCGATGTCAGCACGCAAACTTGCTTCGCCCCCTTCTTCTCGATGGGTGTGGTGCCAGGCATGTCGAAGTAAAGAGGCGTCTGATCGGCATTCTCGATTTGCCCAAGCAGGTAGCCGTTGTTGTGCCGCAAGTTCAGGACGAACCTCTGAAAACTGTGAAGCTTTTCATCGTACTCCTCTGGAAACTTTTCGCATATGCCCGTTCGCCTTGGGAGGGAAAAGCCTTTCCTCTTCATAAAGTTAGTTAGCCAGCATCTGCTCGCTTTAAACTGGCTCCGCATTAGACCTTTTTCTAAGGCTAACTGCATGGCCCGCACTTGGAGCAGTTCTGTCGTCACGGGCCGCTGTGCCGCTCGCTGCTCAAGCACATACTCGCCGCGCAGCTTTTCAATTTGCGGAAACCGGCCCTGCTGTGGTCCACCGAAGCCTTTGCGTGAAGCTTTGCTGTCGACAATCTTCTGCTTTTGTTTCCGCCGGTCCCGCACGCACGTTTCGAGAACTCCGAACGACCGCGATGCGGCCCGATTTCCGTCCGTTTCTGCACACGCGATGACTTTCTTTTTAAAAGCGGCATTGTGGTGCACTCGAGTTTTTAGAGTCGGCCCTTCCATGTTGTCGATGCTAGTGCACTAAAAGATGACGAACTCCTCAGCACACGTACGAAGTACCGCACGTGGGAAACACATACGCAGAAATGGCCGATGCGCCACGCCGACGCACGTAGGGGGTGGCCATTTTGGATATGCCGATGGCAATAGAATGACCGTATTCATTTTTTTTTTTTCATACTCGATTCTAATGCGCATGCGATTTATGAACTCGCTTAACTGGAAAAAGGTGCGTGTTAGATTCGAGTAATTACGGTAGTACCAGCACATATATTCTGGGTGTCGTGCATTTTTAACTGAAGTTGTTAGCAGCACATGTGGTGTCTGCTTCTGTGTAGCTGTTTTGTCTTTGTGCGCTACATCACCATAATTAGCTAGCACAAACTAGCCCAGGAACAAGTCCTTCTGTAGTTTTTCTCTCTCTGTTTTTTTTTTTTCCTAATCGCAGCTAATATTTCAACAAGTTGTTTGCTCTGTAATAGACACTGTCATCACTGACATATTGTTATTGCGATCTGGAACATAAAATAGTAGGCACTGTACATTCATTACTCAGAACTGAAGATTTCAACCATTGGAGGGCATAACATCACTTTTGCATATAGTCAGCTTATTTCTTTTGTAGTGCTCTTTCATTCCTGGACAAGGAACGAGACGCTATTGGTTAGTTAACCTTCTTTCTTTTGCAGGATGCTGTGCAGCAGGCGACCAACGAGAGAAACGCTGCGCTCGGCCGACTTCACGAGCTCCAAGAGAGCCTCACTGCACAAGGAAACAACGGGTATGCATGCGGGAGGGTTGCCTCGCTCACGTTGCATTGTCTGTAGAGTAGGCCTGTGCAAATGTTTGAGAACTTGCAATATTCAAGCGAATATTACAGTATTCAAATTAACTTCGACACAAATTCAAGTTCGAAGTATTTAAGTATTTGAAGTGAACAAATAGACATGAATAAAGCTGTATGCAAGTTTCTTGTAAACATGGTTTCAGTGCAGTGAAGGCGTGCTGTGCTGTGAGTGCACCTATCAAGAAAAAATCTGCACCTGCAGCAAAGCTTCACTTCAGTGATAAAGGGGGACGTGGCAATAGAAATGGTAAATTTGGTCAAAATGTTCAGTTTTTCATTTTATATACTTTTTTGCAATTTTGAGACGATGTTTTATGCCATGGCGAAATATTAGACCAAAATAAGTAGTAGAAGTTCAGAAAAAAAAAACATTCTAGTGGTGTGTTGTTATAAAGAACTATGACAAAATTGAGCTTTAGAACATGCAAATCTGCACCTTTCCCTTAGCATAGTGCCACAATATTTGCATCATCGTAAAGAGCACAGATCGGCGCTCAAGATAGCCACAGAGCTGCGTTTCTACAATAGAACATAAAGCCAGCTTCCTTCCGAGTTCAGTTTTCTTAGAATCTAACTCCATTTTCTCTGAGCTCTATTTTTTGTACCATAACGTTATCGGTTTATTTTTTAATATTCAAATAGGCACACCAAAAGTTTTTTTGAAAAGTCCTGTACATACTGTCTTGTTAAAATATTTTACAAAAAGTCAATTATAAAAACCTGTATGATGTGAACTCAACGGGACAGCATTACGGCACCCACAATTGTCTCAGGATCTAAGTGAAGAAAACAGAATGACTATATCTTCGTTTATTGTGAAATGGCACGGGGATGATTGACAGCAGCTGCTCAAAAAAGTTAAAGCGGAAAAAATGGAGCTCAGAGAAAATGGAGTTAGATTCTAAGAAAATTGAACTCTGAAGGAAGCTGGCTTTATGTTCTACTGTAGAAATGCAGCTCTGTGGCTATCTTGAGCGCCGATCTGTGCTCTTTACGATGATGCAAATATGGTGGCACTGTGCTGAGGGAAAGCTGCAGATTTGCATGTTCTAAAGCTCAATTTTGCCATAGTTCTTTATAACAACACACTACTAGAATGCTTTTTTTTTCTGAACTTCTACTACTTATTTTGGTCTAATATTCGCCATGGCATAAAACATGGTCTCAAAATGGCAAAAAAAGTAAATAAAACAAAAAACTGAACATTTTGACCAAATTTACCACTTCTATTGCAAATCATACAGATTTTATAATTGACTTTTTTTTGTAAAATATGTTAACAAAACAGTATGTACAGGAATTTTCAAAAAAAATCTTGGTGTGCCTGTTTGAATATTGAAAAATAAACCGATAGCGTTATGGCACAAGCTGGGCCCTCGTGAATATCATTATGCAAAAATCTTGGCGAATTTATGTCGAACTGATTATTTAATTGTGGGGTGACAATGATAGCCATTATGTCGAACTGATTATTTAATTGTGGGGTGACAATGATAGCCATTATGTCGAACTGATTATTTAATTGTGGGGTGACAATGATAGCCTATTTAGTGTTGTGTAATTCAAGAACAATATTAGATAGCTCAGAACCATTTTATATGTCGTCATTTCATCTGCGTAAATAGTAATAATCCTCATTGCTATGTCCCCCTCTAAAGGAACACGTTAACATCACATTAATTCAGCATTTGTTTAGTAAAATATTTTTTTTCTGGCTTTTGTGCTCTAAGTATATTATTTTTTACAACATCACATATTTTTCTGGTTTATTTGCATTCTGCCCAAAGTCAAATCCTGCTACTATTCAAAGTTTCTTCCACTTCTATTTGGACTAAGAAGTATGACATTTGTGCATGCCTTGTTTCAAATAAAAAGAAATATTGTGCAGGCTAGTTGGTTTGTGATAAAAATGATTTATTTATCTTCATAATACATGATATACCAATCGATGTATATATAATACATAACTAATAGTGTGTTCAAATTCTCTCTCATACCTTTACCCTGACATATCGTTTTGCATTACATTTTAGTGCGCAGTATTACGGCCTCGCATGCTTTGAGATGATAAGGGCAGTCAAGGACACTCAACGTTGCTTTAAAAAAAACTAAAAACTTTTCCCATTTTTTGCTCAACAAATATTCCCCGAAGAGTGGGGGCCAGTCACAGCCTTTTGTAAGATGCACTTCATTGCCTCATATTCACTTGTGCATCCATTGCAGAGCTCCCTGTTTCTTTTTGTTTTTCTTTTGGACTCGACTACAAAAGTGGTGGGGGGCTACTGTAAGACTTGCTCCCCCCCACCTCTATTCCTCCTCGGCCTTTACTGAAGAACTCTGCACACACCTATGCTCATATCTATTGTACGTGAACTCGAATTTACCATATCATAAGGAACATGCCTGTTTTTTTTCTAAGCGCTAGTTACACCTCTCTCTGTTTTTGGACCTTCATCTTTACTCTTATTCTTTATGCAGCGATCGAGGCACCGCTGATGGAGTGAAGATATCAACAGAAGCGCAAACAGACTTTATTGGGGTTCAAGACGGCATCGATCTGGCTGCAAGCTCATGCTTGCAGGAGCTCAAAGAGGAAGTCAGCCGGATCAGCCAACGTCTCGACGAAGAGGCTGCGTCACGGCAAAATGCCGAGATGAAATGTCAGAGGTGACGACTGCTGTTATGTTTCCTACTTACGTTGTGCCTTCAGTTAAACAAACCTACAGTTGCGGCTTTCTATCAGTTTGCATTTGCTAAAAGTTCTTGCTATAGGATCCTCCTAGGGCAGCACCGTAAAAGTGCCTCTCAAGAACAGTACGTCTTTAAAAGTGCGGTACGCTTAGTTTTGCGTTCCTTTGAATCTTTACAGGTTGGAAGAACTGGTGAACGGCTTCCAAAAACGCCTCATTGGGCTGAACAACAGCTTCTGACGACGTTGAATCATGTGACTGATGGTGCTTTCTACCGTTGCAGCATTCACCCCTTGAAAGACAGCTCTGTAGGCACTGGGGAAAGGTCAACATTCCAAGCAAATTGTTCTTTCTTTTTGTTTCCTGGTACACAGCTAGCCTGTGTTTCCACAGATTTTATTTGTAACAGATACTCTAAAGTGTAGTGGTTGTTGCATAGAGGTTATTAAAAGTAAAGCAGAGTGCATTATTTTTCTTTTTTGAAACTCTGTTGGTTAGCATTCTCCAGTGTACTGTATTTGTTAAATGTACAATCAGAAGTTACAGACATTCTGCACTTATTTTGCTGATTATTCACTGCCAAAATGTTCTCACTATCTTCAGGTGCCTTGCACACTTAGAGCAATACATATGTACTGTAACTATAGAAGCCTACTCTCCTCTCCAATTAACACCGATATTGTTTAAGGGGAACAAGTCTCTATGAGACATTATTGTAAAGCTGGAATGTATGAAGAGGAAAGGGAAATGGTGGGAGGAAAAGATTCCTGTGGTAATTCAGCTTGAGTAAAGCGATGCTTGCCTGTGAGGCCTGCTCCTTGAATTTGCTTTGAGCTGTTGCAGTCTACAGATTTCTTGCTCATTACGATATTCTTTATTGGACAGAAGTGCTGTAAAACAGGAATTGGTATTGGAAAGATGATTGGCTGAGTTCTTCGAAGTTTTGCAATTGGTATGTTCACTGGACTAAAAAATAATTATTGCTACCGGCTGGCCCGCATTGCCTAGAAGTGTTGGCCAAAAGAGACAGCATTGTTTCATTGTCCTTCATAGCTTGCTAGACCTAACCTCCTATGCTGAGAATCCAGATACATGAAACAGTTCATTATGTAACATGAAAGAAAAATTCCTTGCAGGTTGCTGATCAAATAGGCCTCTTGTTAGGCTTAGCTAAGCCTAACTTATTGTATTGACTGGTTTACTCTGCCCATAAAATGGATGACTCGTCAGCTGGTGCCTATTGGGCCTATAGCATAGAATTTAGTTTAAACCAGCACCTAAATTTAGTTAGCACAAAGAGTTAGTTTGACCCAATAATGTAACTCATTGGTTACGTCAGGTATTGTTGCACATAAATCTTGTGCTTGCTGTGGAGCGGAGAGGGGTTGTTTGCAACACTCTTCCTGAACTGATTCCTCATAAGTCAGTCAGTGTCAGTTGTGTGTTGTGACACAAAAAGAGTTCGACTGGAATGCCTTTTCTTGGCAAGTGCATTTAATCTCTGCACATTGTCTGCACATTGTGTGCACTTCTTGAGAGGAACGGTAGTGTGCAAATTTTGCACATTTCAACTGAACACCGAGTGCAGAGCAGCCTCAACTAAATTCAGGAAGCACAGTGAAGTTGGACAGACACAGCAACAGTGTTTACATGTTCTGCAGCTCTCTGACAAGTGATGGGCCAGTTGCATGCACTAATGTGTAGTATGCTTATTATATTATTGTATGGAAACAGCCCTTGAGAAAACTCGCTGCAAATTGTAAGTGAAAATGCATGGAACAATGTAAGCATTTGACGAAGTGAAGAAAGTCCTCCATAAACTCGAGTGTAGAACAAACATGTGTTAATGTCCATGGAATGAGTAAAAAGCAGTTATGTTACAGGACGCATGAGTCTAGCACTTCTGTCCATCTTGTGGTGGAACTCTCTTCGCTTCATTACAGGTTTTCTTACATGTTTCAGCTGTTCACTTCTACAGGACTAATGTTTCTTGCTTATTATTATATTACACTTAAACCTCGCTATAACAAAGTTGAATGGAAGGCACAATTATTTCGTTATATCCATTATTTCCTTATATCAGTTATAACAGTTTGTGGCAATGTATGCTCAGATGGGCGCTCACCTATAAGCATGCAAAGAAGGGAACCGCCTCGCAGCCCGATGTACCGCTACACAACCATGCGTGCGACGAAAAATAAACACAGTTGAATCTCATTAATTCGAACACGCTTAATTCGAACTTCTGGTCAATTCCAACTCACGCTGTGGTCCCGTCAAAGCTACGTGGACCCTCATGGACCTCATGGGCGAAAACGCCCTGTAATACGAATGCGCAAGCACCCGTCAGTTAATTCGAACGTACCGCACTCCGAAAACGCTCTCAGCACCATGCCCAATCCCGTGGCGGCACCTCTCAACTCTGTGCGCAAAGAAGGAAAAGAAGAAAAGAAAAGACTGTGGCGGATTGTTTGCTCTCTCTCAAACGCCGATCTGCAATGCACCTGTGCCATGCTTCTCCTTTTTTCGTCTCTGCACGTAGAGACCCTTCTCCTTTCAAGGCTGGGCATGAAGAGAGAGAGGGAAAAAACAAACAAACAAGAAAGCCAGTTGTCGAGAGTTGACTCTTTCTCTAATGCCGATCTGCTTCTCTCCGGGTGGAGACGCTCGTCCTTTCTCGGTGCAGAGGGTAGCAGCAAAACCCTGCCACGGTGGTCTAGTGGCGAAGGTACTTGGCTGCTGATTTGCATGTTGCGGGATCTAATCCCGGCTGCGGCGGCTGCATTTTTGATGGAGGCGAAAATGTTGTAGGCCCGTGTGCTCAGATCTGGGTGCACATTAAAGAAACCCAGGTGGTCGAAATTCCCGAAGCCCTCCACTACGGTGTCTCTCATAATCATGTGATGGTTTTTGGCACGTTAAACCTCGCATATCAAATCAGGGCAGCAGTGGAGACACAGTCTTTGCCGTCTGCTTTATATAGGTTGGCCCTGGACTTAGCCTCGCGCTACTATGCTTTGCAAATTGTGTGCGAAATCAATTGACTGACTTTCTGCAAGGCAACCGTGTGCAGACGTGCATCGCCGATTACTTCAATAAATGACGGATGTCTTCTTATTTGTGAATAAATGTGTCTTCTGAAGCTTCTCCATCGTGTGTTTTTAAATGAGAGGGAAATCGCTTTGCACCGCGACGCCGCTTCTCAGTCATGTGACCCGCTGAGCACTTCCTCAATCCTCTTTGCTGGCTGTGTTAGAAAGACGGCTCTCTCGGCCGCGCGTGGCATAGCTGTAAGGTCGGCGCAGGAGTTTTGAAAGAGCCGCGCCGAACGAGCGTTAAGCTTCGCAGTAAACAATATACTTTACACGCAACAGTCGTTTTTTTGTTAATAGACTATTTGATAGGCTAATTTAGTTTATTATATGTTATATAACGAGGTTTGAGTGTATTTCCTGCCAATTGCTTCAAATGTTGATGTGACAGCCAATTTCCTGCCATGCTCTCAGCACCCTCTTAGCTGCAGCATGTGATGGGGAACAAACTTGATAATATCATCCACACTGCATTCGTCTTTCCGGCCGCCTGCTGATCGTAAATGTTCTTTTGTTGATGTAGAGACATTTTATGGCATGGCTTTTCTATGTATAAATTTATTAACTATGGTAATGACATCCCCCACTCTCTTCCTCGGTGATGTAGTGCACAAGAGCTCAGGTAACATACTCACCACTTGTGAATAGTACAAAGCACGGCGGCTGGGCCGCCCTTGCCCTTCTGTAGACTGACATGTGCAATAAGAAAGGTCGCGCAGCCGGTACGCTGGTTAAGCACTTAAGCACGTAATGCAATCCCAGCAAGCGTAGGACATGCGCTTGCTGTGTGTGCACACTGTTAGGAAGGAAATGTTGGTGGACCACTGAAGTTGCGAGGAAGAAGAGCTTTCCAAGCTCCGAGTTTCACAAAAGCTCCAAAGTTAGTGGATTATACTGGCTTATGCATCTTCAGATTGGAAAATGTTTCCAGAAAGAAACAATGCACAAAGTTTTGCACTTTGTCTTTTTCATTTTGGTGTCTGCATTGATTTTGTATCTATCAGTACAATTCAAATAGTTATTATAATACACATTTCCATCTGGGAAATCTATGAGATATCTATATCTTTCCATGATCATAGGAAATGAATTAATTCAGTTGTTTTTGACAGTCTTGATATGGTGTGCTATGGGATGTACAGCTCAAGCTCGAGGGTTGTGAGGTTAGCACCAACATTTATTTGTGCTTAGTTAGCGACTAACCAAGCTAATGGTACTGCCTGTGGTGCATTGGGCAACTCCATTAGGTGTGCAACACCTTTAGAAGTAGAGAACAAGTAAAAAATAGACCTGCACATTGAATCTTGTTGCAATATTTTTAACTCAAATCTTTTTTTACGATATGGACCTATTGTGTTTACTCGATTATGATGCAGCCGCAATCGTAATGCAAGGGCAACTTTTCAGTCTGTAAAAAAGAATATATCTATATTGGTTAAACACAAGGCCCTATCAGGGAAAATTGTACTACGCATATTAGTGCGATATCACAGCCAGAAAAGTGCACTTTTCTGGCAGCGAGATCGCTTCACCCATTCTTGTCAACGATCGAATGCCTGCCATTTTCACCACCCACCGATCTTAGATTCGTCGCTAGTATTAAGTTGCCCAGCAGCTAAACGATTTCTGAGCTTTATTTCTGTCGAGATGGCTTTCTGTGAGAGGCAGTCGTCATACTAGGTGGGACGTGAAGCCCGTACTCCGAAAAGAAGGAATACAAATTTCTGATCAGTCTCACCACTGTACGCCAATGAAACCACCAACGCATCTGGAGCACTGCTCAAACTATAGTACCCAAACAAAGACTGTCTGGCTTATTTGGATTTGTACGCCTGTGCAAATACTGCCGGTATATATTGCAGAGCCACTAAAACTGGGTTTGCCCAAATTTTGGGAGTGAATCTCAGTATTTCATTGTCTTGTGTGCAGTTGGTGCATGAGGGTCCACTTCAAGCTACGAAATTTTTGAGAAAAATGCATCACAGTTGAGTAAATACAATGATTTAAAGAACTGGCCTCCTTCAGTGTGCAACAATTGTGTGGGGCTAACTTTACTAAACCATCACGAGTCGCGTCTCGTGAGCTGAATGACAGCCATGGTTGGAAAGCAATTTGGCGTGCTATTGAATTCCACATTTCACATTTTTGTACGTGATAATAGCAGCTTTGGGAAGTGCATGACAGTTTTTATGCTTTAAAGACAAAATAAGATGAACTAACGATGTGCAATGTGACCATTGTCGACATTATCACTACATCCTTTTATGTTTAAAGTGTAAGGTGCTAACGCTGAGGTGATTATAGCTGCTGGCATCATCCTAACTGTGCGTTAACTACAAGAGTTATGAATATAGTAACTTGGAATTGCAGGCTGTATGTGTGTGGGTACACTTGGACGCGTGTGTGCAGGCCATGATGCTGTGTCATTGAGCATGTTTATGTTCATTCTTCGCGGGGCTTCATTGGTCCACGATATTTCATTCCCGGGGGTACACACATTGAGTTGTCTGATTTTTTGTCTTCTCATATGTCTAGATCTTTATTTATTTGTGACCACCTTGATATTGTGGTTCTGTGAGGTGCTTTAGTTTATCTCTTTCCTTTTCATCCATATTTTTATGCGCAGTCGTGATTTCATGACACAGTAGGGATGAGAAGGTGATGGGAATGTGAAGTGTGTTTGTTGTCACCTTCGCGCTTCTCCGTTGCTTCGGAATGTGCAAGTGAACGGCCCAGGATCTTGTTGTGGACATCATAAATGTAGGTAAACATGGTAGCTGCCGTAAACGTAGGCAGCTTTAGTAGCATTGTTGTGCCTTCAAAGGTTTACCAGGAGAAGGAACGTTGTGCCCTTGGTAGTGCTGTAGAAGGAAAATTTGTTGCAGTCATCGCTTACCTTGGGACTAAGTCATAATCAACACTGTTTTAGTGTTAAAAATGTTACCATTGTGAAGGCCTAATGTAGACTGATTGTTTGTTAGATCTTCTGCAGTATGATGGCGACTTGGCAAATGAAAAGTGTTGACCTCACTGACCAATCACAGACAATAATTTTAGTGGCCTTGCCTTAGTTAAGCGAGCGTATGTCATCGTGAACTTAATGTGAAGAAGTTCTAAACAACTTGGACACGTTTGCCTTTCTATTCACCTATCTTTGTAACACTTCTTTATCTTGATTTCCAAGCATACATTTTGAAACTGTACTCCACATTGGCGTACCAGTCACAGTGTGATTATGCGTAGCATGTATAAAACATGACTTGATGTTGATGATGGTACGGCTGTTCAGCGGTGCTGCATTCTACAAGTTTTTGAAGCACAGATTTGTTCTTATTGTTCTTAAGTAGCACATAAGCATAATGTGTACCTTGATGCTGGAAGCCTTTTTGTTTTGACGATTGAGCTCTGCTGCACATTGCGTATGGTATTTGGAAGTGGCACCTGAGGCAGTGTCCAAGAGCCAAGCAGGCTGATAGTGTGTGTTCACCTTAACATATCTCTTGCCACAGAAATGACGCTTGCCAGTTTATTGTGTATCTAGTAATACATACAGCTGGTGCATCCGGCGTTGTGCCTTTTGTGACCCTCGTGTCACCAGAGCTCTGCCCACGTTGGCAAAGTGTCATCACACCAGTGCCGGCAGCGGCTGGCTCGCTGTCTTTCCAGACGGCTGTCTAGGTGTTTCACTGTAAAATGGCACCGTGCCTTTGAATGCTCGAAAGTTTTAATCTACTACGACTGTTGGTGCCTGCTGGTGTTTCGCACCTTCCCAATGGCAATAACTTAAACGTGTACATTATCTACATGCCGTCCCCGGTGACAGATTTTGTGCGGGTGCTAGTTGCTAACAAAAACAAGTTTTAAAGCTCGTAGGTGCTCATAGGCTCACTTATTCAGCAATAAGTGATTGTGGTGTACTTCGTGGCAAACGTCGCAAGGCTGTCGTCCTCGAACGATGATGTCTAAGTGCTGCAACGTCGGTCCACATATTTTACGTGCATTTCCTGCTGAGGGGGTGTTATCTTCCTCACAATCTGCAGGTTGTGAGAAAGAACTTAGAAGCTTGTTCCTCGATGTCCACATGACGGTGCAGTTCTGCATTTACGAGGTGTCATGGTTAGGGTGATGAAAAGAGTACGAGGGAGTGGCCTTGATTGTGAAAGTTGCAGTGCTCGCTGCTCGAGTTGGTAGTTTTTGTGAGGACAGGCCGTCGGTCTTGCCTTTGCTTTTCTCCCTCCACAGCCCTACTTGCTTGAAGCGAGGTTTCGAAAATCTTTTCTGCTCCCTCACTGTTGTGCCTTCAATCAGAAAGTATTTTTTGCCATGATTACACTTTTAGGACTACCAATACCATAGCACTTCTCTGGCAGGCAGCAGGTCACTGCTCCAAGTCTGAATGTAAATGTGCTGCTGTAAATGTAAAGCTTCATTGGGAAATCGCTGGGGTCTTTTTCATAAATATGTGAGCATCCAGACCAGAGCTAAAAATGAACATCATCAAAGGGGTTTGCGTGAATAGCATGTGATGAAGCCTGTAAAAGCAGGCAAAATGTGTGTTAATCGTGAAAGTGGCCACATTGTGCCACTTTCATGTGAAATGAAGCGTTTTCAAAGCTCCCGTAGGGAAAAGTATGCACTCATATGCCTTAGGTATGCACTTTACTGCCTTAGGTAGCGAACTTGCGACATACCAAAAAAAAAAACTGCGAGCAAGCAAGTCAGGGAATGCGTGCCACCTTTAATGTCGGTTCTCAAGTACTCACGGGAACGTAGCTTTCAGCATAAAAATCTAGCGCTGGCTTGTATAATTTATTTTATGCTAGAACTAATTGTTTTGTAGTTGATGGTGGAGAGTATGAAGCATGTGCAAGAGTGCTCATTTCATTGTTCTTTCTCGCCTGGCTGACAAAAGTTTTATATTCAATAATTTTGTTTATTTGGTGTGTACGCACTCAAGACGTCGCACATGACATTTTGCGTAGTTCTGAAATGCGCTTCTCATTGCAAGGTCTTGACTTTTTGGCGTGTGGAGAATTGGCGACATACCTAAAAGTACTCATTAAAGGTGCACTTTAGATAATGTAACTGTGGAATTAATGAAAGGTTGCTATTTAAATTGGAAAAATGAAAACAATTTCAATTTTTTGGCAGTTTCATAAGTCAGGCATTAAAGGGTTGACTGAAATTTATGCTTTGAATTGCGGCACCTTATATATATTTGCTACACCGGTGGGTAGTTATGGTGTACCAAACATGATGCCTCGGGTTTAGGATAACTGCAATATTTCATAAATACTTATGCAATTATAATTGATGACACGAACTACAAATTTATTACCACCTGTCTCTAGAATTAGGCTTCTCCTTTTTAAATTGTGACAAGTGTAAGCATCCAAATAGGTATTAATAGCTGCCCCAAGGTAGCATTTCCTGGTTTTCGTCAGCATTCAAGCGTCAAGCAGCAATCGTAAACGCTTTCTTTTGATTTAACAAACACGGTCTGCATGTGCATATGCTTTCCATTGACGTGCCTTGACAATTCCTCGCATCAACCAAATTTGTGGCCGATGTTCTGAGCAACATTTGTGTGTTCACAACTCTAAAAAAAGATACGTCTTCTTGTTTATACCAAGGAACACCTCGAGAATGTTTTTTGCGCTGTCGTGGCGATATCCCGCACCGTTTCGATTACAAGCAGCCACACATGCATCTACAGTAATGATTCTCAACTGTGACCATGTCTGCTACCAAGAAATGCCTCACACTACCACACTAACCTGTTCTGTCTACCTTTTATCAATTATGAAATGGATGAATGTGTTCCAATGTGTGTTCTCGGGACTAATGGGGTTTAGTTTTTTTGTTTATTTTTCTGTACCAGCTGTTTTTGTAGACACTCCGCTCAAGGAAAGCACTTCATTTAAAGGCTTGTTTGCAGTGCAGTATTATTACGAATTCTCCCAACTGCAAATGTCGCTGTGAATGGTGCTGCGTATCATTGTGATCGTTAACACACAGTGTATTTTGTGTAGGTTCCATGTGATGCACAAAGTATTTTTTTAGCTTGTATGAAGAAGTTTTGTATGATGTGTTTTGTCTGTTTTTTTGCTTGTTACACAATAAGTATTTTAGGCTCATAAAATACAAACTGCAAAAACCTCACCCTGTCTGTTTTCTCATTACCAACTTCGTATTGCAATGTGCCTACAATGCACAGATTGGTGCACACTAGGTAAGTTATCTTTCATGCATAATACACTCAAGCCTCATTATAAGGAACTCGCATCTGTCCATGAAAATACTTTGTTGTATTAAAAAATTCGTTATAAACGATTATCCATGACACTATGGCAAATCTATTGGTCACTTCATTATAACTGGTAGTTCATTATATATTGGAATTTGTTATATCAAGGTGTGAGTGGGTGGGTATTTATTTGTTAATCTTCTTGTGCTCCTTCCTTAATTTTTAGTGCTTTATTTTGTGACGTGCAGAAGATCGCAATTGATTTTATGTAAAGGAGGTTTAAAATGTAATCGGGGAAGCGTTGAAAGTTCAGTGTCTGTCTGCAATTGAGAAAAAAAGACTATCATCACCATTGTGAACAGGTACACTCTGTCTTCACCGTCTGCTTTGCTAACAGAACAAGTGCACAAATTTTCTTTGGTGCATGATTCTGATAATTCTTATGGGTGAGAGAACAGGCACAGAGAGAAAGAGAGAAATTCTTGGTAAAAAAAACTTTAAAAGAGGCGAGATTTTGAACCAATGTATCCACGATAAGAAGAGTATCTTGATTACTCTGCTATATAGGCATGCTTCCAAATCAAAGTCTTGTATAGTATAGTGAGAGCAGGGGTGTGTGAAATGGGAGTGAGTGTGTGATGCGATATTGAGGGCGAGGAGGAATGAAAAGGGAGAGTAAAGTTTGTAGAAAGGAAGATTGCATCGAAAGCAAAGGGAAGTTAGAAATATAAGAAAAGAATTGATATGATGGATATGTGGGGTTTAACGTCCCAAAACCACCATATGATTATGAGAAACGCCGTAGTGGAGGGCTCCAGAAATTTCGATTACCTGGGGTTCTTTAACGTGCACCCAAATCTGAGCACACGAGCCTACAACATTTCCGCCTTCACCGGAAATGCAGCCGCCGCAGCCGGGATTCGAACCCGTGACCTGCGGGTCAGCAGCCGAGTACCTTAGCCACTAGACTACCGTGGCGGTGGGGCTATAAGAAAAGAAATGGAAGAAAGACAAAAAAAGATATAAGGAGCGAGAAACGGAAAGAGGCGATGATGAAAAGAAAACAAAACAAAGGAAGAAAAATGAACAAACAAGGAAGGCTGTCGATGTCCTTGTTCCTTTGGGCTTGGCACCACTGGTGTAAAGCTGTCCTAAACTTTATTTGAGGCTCCTTGGGGGAGTTTGCTTTAAAACAAGTGGAAAACTAGGAAACTAGCTGGGAAAACTGCGAAAGGCAATATTTCGGTTGAAATCTGGAGAAAAGTGCTTCCAAAAAGGAAATGAAAGCATTGCACACATCTCTACCTCAGAAGAGTTTATCGATTACCGCTTGAAGAAGTCGTTGCAGAGGTTTAGCTTTTTTTTTCTTCGTTCTGCCGTAGCCTGACCCGTTTTATACACTTTGCATGGCTTTGTAACCGTACAAATCACGAAACACCTTGACGTACCTCCTTGGAACGTCTAGTACAATGATATTTTGTGCAACATGTGGTGCTGCAACGTTGCAGGGAAAATGTGAATGTTTCACGTTCCAACTAACTGAGTGTTTACGAATTTTCGCCTGCTAGCTGTATATGCATGTATTCAAAGTACAAGTGGCACGTATCTGTGCTCAATTTTCAGAGAAATATAGCTTCTATGTCTTGCTGGTCAATTATTATGTAGGTATTTCCTCAAAATCCAACGGCTTCCAATGCAGCCAAAGCGAGACATTTGGAACAACGGCGTGGCTAATTTTTTTTTGGGGGGGGGGGGGGGGGGTGGGGAGGGGCTTTTGATTTCAGGGTGGGGGGGGGGGGGAGGCCTTTTTAAAATAGTCATGCTTCGCTCGCCATAGCAAACAAACAAACAAAAAATTTCAGGGTCTGGGGTACGGGCCCGATGTGGCATGGCTACGCCATTAATTCCTCCATGGAGGAAAGAAACATCTTTTTTTTTCTCCGTGGATTCCTTCATGAAAACCATAGACAACGCCGAAAAAGAAGGCAATGACAATGCAGCCGCAGTTGAGTACGAAACTTTGTGACCGTCCTCCCATTTTTCGTTGTTAACTTTGGAACTCCGCGAGGAATTTCCAGGATCTCTTATTTGAAACGTATAACGCAATCATGCGCATTATGGGTATCACTGGTAAGAATGCCGGTGGACCAATTCATGTGAACAAAAAACTAAAAAAATGCCTACTGTGACAGTTGTGGTACCTCACGGGTGGATCGCAGCCGTAGATCTCGAAAGCAGCATTATTTTCGGTTGTGTACGGCCTCCAAGCGCACCATAAACACACTACAATTTTGTTATTTGTTCCAAATTCAGCTTACGCTCAGTGCCTTTACTATATCGGCGGTAAATTTGATGTTTTCCTAAAGCCAACTTGACGCTAACACCTCTAGCGTCGTTCTTCAAATTGCACTGGCGGTGTTTGCGTGTCGTACCTAACAGAAGTGGTGGACCCGCTGTTTACTGTTTTGTCAGAGCGAAACTTCTCTGCACGATTTTTCTCGGTATCGAGAAATTCGAGTAAAATGCATCGGTTAGAGGACAGCTATCTGGTCTATCTTGTCGCGCAGTCCACTGGGGCTTAGATGCATCGAAAATGCGAGCGTAGCATGCGTGCCGAACGTTTGATCGTCTGCTCGCAGACGATCACTGACGCAACCATTTCTGTAACGCCAAATCAACCAACCTAACACAAACGTTTCCACGTCGTTCCAGCGCTGTGTGCGCCATGCAAAACATCTACCACTTCGGTAAGAGATTCCAAGACATCATCGTTAGCCCTTTCGAGCTGGTTAACCTCTTGGCTTTATCCTCTGGCATCGTTTTGTGTCGTCTCGTGCGCAGAGCGTAGCAGCAGGACCCACTGCCCCGGCCTGTACTGCGGCCGAATCAGATTCGACAATGGTTCCTTCAGCGACTGTGGGGTACGTGTGCGCAGTCTGTCGTGCGCTACTTTGTGCTTACTCAGGAACTACTAGTTCCCCCAGATTGTTGCAAACATCTGGTGAAGGGTGTTGCGCGCGGTGGTGGGTACTGAGGAGTCCGAAAGTCGACAGCGTGAATGAGGTTTCAATAAATATTTTATTTGTTCACTGCGACTGTTTTTATAAGCTTATTCCTTCGTGTATAGTGTCACTGCGCAGTTCGAATGTAATGAACTTTATTAATAACAGCAAAAAAAAAAAAAAGGAGACTAAGCTGTGAAGCCTCTAGCGTGTATATTTACAACCTAGTCCTACACATATGACTGATCACCTTTGCAGGAGATGAGCATTTCGTGACACGCTGCTAAATTATACTTAAGTTTACGCGTACCTGATTGCCCCAGTCAGTGCAGCTATTCGACATGCAGTCGCCATAAGTTTAGCAGTGTTGTGTAGCACCGGCTGGTGTGAAAGAATGCTCTGACTGAAATGCTGGCTTGTTTGCGGCCTAGAAGCATCCCTCGTGGAGCATTTCGCGATAGTTAAATTTTAATGTAACTTTAATGAAATTTTCGGTACCTTACACTTTCTTGTTTTGTTCAGAACAAACTTAAAAGTGTGCCACGCACAGTGCATTGCCCAACAGGAAGCGCCAAAATTGCATGATTAGGTTTACGTATAAAACTTCAGACTACGCGTCCACATAATGAAGTGTTCGCCGTGTATTGCCATCAAATGGTTGGACGGCAGCAGTGTTCCATCGCTACAGATTGTACACCAGCTCTCTGGCAATGTACCTAAGTGTAGTGTTCAAATTCACTTGTCTTCTCGAAACCTGTATGATTAAACTAGACGATGCCTAATTGTTGCCTGCTGTTTATCGCACATTTCTTAAAGGGACACGAAAGAGCAAAATGCTTTTTCGTGTGTTAGTAAAGTACAGTTTCACTATCCCTAAAACACCACCCTTACCGCAACATGACACTTGGTAAGCAAGAAAACATGTGAAAAAAAAACTGCGGGTGAATACACCGCCTTGACATTTAGAAATGAAAGTTCCACCTTGATTTTCTCTGCTAATAATAAACTTATGATGGTGAAACTTATCACATTAGAGTCGACAGATTGCAGTTTATCAATCTAAAACTAACTCATTGTTCTTTCTTTAGTGTCCCTTTGAGAACTCAAGCAGTCGTGTACCTATGAGCTCTCCTTAAAACCATTCTTCAGCATATCAGTGCGCTTTCACCCCAAATTACTATCTCTCAGAGAAATTTCAGCAAAAACAAGCTAGTGGTTTAATTGTGCAGTATGGTTATGCACATCTGACACCCACTCCTGTTTATGCAAAGTACCATATGCAGCTTGGTGTGACTTACAAACTCTGGTAAAAAAAAATGCTCGGGCAACCAGTGAAAAACGTTTTAACAAAGCTTCCCAAATGGGCAGTCACTTTTAGTCAACTTGCCACTTGTACCCAAGGAGGTTTATAAAAAAAAAATCAGGAGTTGAAGTAGCAGGTGTGAAGCCAGTGTTTGCTGGTAGTTTACCTTAAAAACATGGTCTTCTCACGTTTTACTTGAGCAGAGTTAAAGTGCTTTTATGCTGCTAATGCTTGCCTAAATATAAAATAAGAGGTTGCTGTTCCTGACAAAAGTAATGTATATGAACGAATGTTGATAACTCGATCTATACTAAAATTTTCCTAGACTTCGATGCTTGTTTAGGAAACCAGTAACACTAAAACACCTGTTAAGCAGTATCTGTCTGAGAAAATTACCAACATTAAGTTTGTGTGGTCTGGGAGGCCAATAATGCTTTTTCTTTGCTGTATTCTAACTATTTGCTGTGCCTGGAGTGAGATGGTGAAGGCATCGCTTCACCTTCTGGACATATTTGCCACTTCAGCAGTTATACTTAAACTTCTTTGCTTGTATCCTGCACCCTAGGCTTGTCCCCGTGGATTCCGGGTGTCCCGTGATAGCAAGCTGTGCATGCCGTGTGCCGACCTGCCCCAGTTCTACGACTGGCTCTACCTGGGCTTCATGGCTCTGCTGCTGCTGGTGGTCGAGTGGTACATCATCGACAAGACCATGCGTCGACGAAGGTTTGTCGTTGGCGGCTTGTGTTTGCCTGAGAATCGTATGTTGCAAGATACACTGCATGCAAGCATCAGTTTGAGACCCAGTAATGCAAAAAAAAATGTGCTTTGTTTCGTACATAAATTTTTTGTAGAGGTTTGAGAGAAGGGAGCTTTGAGGGCTCATTTCTTTGTTTCATAGAACCTTTAAAGATAAAGCTTAAAAGAGGTGCTCCACACTTGCTGTCATGGCTACGAGCGACGCTGACGAACTCTCCCAGGTGTGCATGCACAATAAATGCCCGATAAAGTGAATGACATCACGCCCACTGCCATAGCCATAATGGCAGGACATCGGGCGTATAATCCGAAGGTTGAAGGTTCGCGGTCTCTGAGGATGGTAAGATGTCTTTTCGTCCACTTTATTTGTCTTCACATTTATATCACGATTACAACAGTATACTTAAAACGGCAGAATTAATAGCCCTTGCACCTTTCTTGGCTTCATAATCTGTTGGGCTTCATTAAGTTTGTAGCGGTTTCTCATATGTTTCAGAGATACAGACTCGCAGCTTTCTTATTGATTCGTCGTATAAATGCTTAAGAATTTAAAAGAAAACTATTTTAAAGAAAAAGCTTAAAAAAGGGGTTCCACGCTTGCTGTCATGGCTCGTCATCATTGCCTTTTGTACAGCTTCACTCCGGAGGTGCTCGCACTCCATGCCTGTGCCCTGTTCGAGACCGTGCTGGCGGCGGTGGCGACTCTCCTGTCGACACCTCCTGTGGGGCAGGTCCTGCTGCACACGTGCCAAGTGCAGCGCCTCTCGGACTGGTACACCCTGCTGCACAACCCGACACCGGGCTACAAGCACACCATGCGCTGCACCCAGGAGGCCGTTTACCCACTGTGAGGCTCTGTGAATGCATAGCTGTATAACTGTGTCATTGTATTCCTGATAAAGGAGCGCATACAAATAATGAACACGAAGCTGGTCACCACAGGTGCCCCATTTCGTCAGGCTCTGTGCTCTTTACTTGTGTTTATTTTTGTTTAGAATTCAATTAAGAGCTTCTGCAATACTTTGCTCAACATAATCAGAGAACTTGCAATCTGTTGTCAAGGTTGTCAACATGTGAGCCATACTTTATTTCACGGCCCGCAGCTGGCCATTCCATGTCAAATCATCCAGCGTTTCTTTGGCTATCACGAATGTGACTTTAAAAATTCGCACATGTTTGTCGAAGTTCGAAATTCGTCCCCGTCGTTTATTTCTGTTGCCAAAAATTTTCCTCCCTATTTATGAGAATCCATAGTTTGGCGCTGGCTGAGCTAGAGGGCGTCAGAAACAATAACTTTTTAATAATAATTTGTTTCGAATGTTGTCAGTAAGATGCTATTTGCAGCAAGGTGATGAAGTGATCTAACTGTAAAAATAATGACTTACTTGTGTATATCAATTCTTCAAAGGCTTTGCACACGAGCAGTATTAAATAATATTGTCAATTTTGAGATGTTTTTTCAGGAGTATGGCAAGCTCAAAGTACACAAATAAAATATGTGCTGGTGGCCCTGTTTGACATGCTACAAATTAAAAATAATTTAGGCACTGAAGTTATAGCAGATAGCCTGAAAAAAAAAAATGGCAGTGGCTTAGCTCAGCTATGCCAGGATATACGTAGCGTTAGCAAAGATTCAGCTGATTATTCTTAGCTTTCCAGAGTGTCTAGGATTAGCTTGATTATCAAGCTCACTGCTGCTGCAATGACACACGTATATTTATTTTGCCGGGCAACTACTTCAGGATCCGATGAGTTAAGCTTCTCTGCTCTACTGCACCGTTGAGCAGCATTTGCACTGTCCTTCTCCATGGCTATACCACAGTGGCAAAAGCCATTCAGAAGCACTATCAAGCGGCTCCAGCGCAGTGTCAAATGGCGACTGCACAGGGAAGGCGCGCGCGTCGGCGTCCATATGTCTACGAAGGCTATGACGGCACTCCTCTGGAAAGCGCACACCGGCGGCGGCGAGTCGCGCGGCCGAGTGCGAGGGAGGTGCCGGTTTTGGTGCGTGACACCACTGATAGTCTGCGCAGCGCATCGAATTGCGCGCACACCGGCGGCGAACCGCGCGCGGCGGCGGCGGAGTATCATTGCACATGCCCAGACCAGTGCCAAGCAAAATTGGCTAAGCGAGGCCAGTGTAGCTAACGCTACAAAATTGCAAATTTACCTCTTTTTTGAAAAAAAACTGCATTCAGCATAAAGAAAGCTTGCCATAGTGGTCAGACTAAAAATATGCACGATATCTCATTTGAAAGCCCAATGTATTAGCTAAAAATAGGTGAAGTTACTAGAGGGTGTTAGTTTTTAAACTTTATAAATATTTTTTCTGAAATTATGTATCTCCACTAGTTTTCGCCTAGTAACTCAAGCAGCATGACACACTCCCAAGGGCAATCTTCAGCAGAAGCCCACTGGCCTGGTATGCGGACGGCAAACATGGTGCTCTGTATAAGGCAACGGAAAAGGAAATGCACAGGCCAAAGTTCCTTCGCTTCCATTTTGAATACAGTGAGCTCACATTAAATGCAAACCAAAGGGGCCAGGAAAATACCTTTAATTTAAACAGGAGTTTCGTGTATTGAGAGATGAACAGGGTTGCAAAATACAAGTATACTAAACCAATCATATCAGAGACAGTTCTATGTAAGCAGCGATTTTCGTTTAGCAGATTTTCGTTAGCTGAGAGTCCACTGTTAAATTGTACGTTGTGTACTCATAAGTGTACTTATCCAAGCTGTGTTCACATGATGGATGTAGTTGCTGATGAATCGATCATGCAATGTAGCATAGCTGACAGAATTAGGGATGTTTGGAATATAGTGGCAGCAACCCATATTTCTTTTTTGTGTGCTTTATAGGTTGGTAGTTCTTCGTGCACGCTCGGACTGGCCTGTTAACACTTTCATGGCCGCGAGAAATTTGGTCATTTTTAGGTAGTCCAGGAAACATTTTTTATGGCACTCGAAGTTTCTCATTTCAATATTTATAGTATCAAACTGTACAGCAAGGAGTTATCTTTCAAATAAAGTCAGTTTGAAACAACAAATTTTTTATTAATAGTACGAAAAAAATTCAGACGAAGAAAAGTTGTAACATGAACAAAAAAATTTTATAAAACCATTAACACTGCTCTGAACAAGGTAATAAAAAATAAAAATATATATCTCAAGCACAAAAAACACACACCACTATCCTGTAAATATAAGCACTGCAAATGTAAAAGTTCTTGTGTACATAGATTAACATTACATGTGGCGTCTTTTATGCCACCATGCCAAGCAGTTTCATGATGCGGTAAAACACAGGTTTGCTATGCATGTTTCACAGAAAACATTTGTTTTTCGTTCTTTCTAATAACTTGAGCAGTAAAGAAGAAAAAGTTGACAGCTCTCAATAAAGCGCCGCGCGGCACACCGGAGCGCAGTTCCAAGGTTCACTACTTGCTGCATCTGTGCACGAAACTAAACTAGCGGCAGTGTGAGCTGCACTGCCGCTAGCAATTGGTACCGCCCAAAGGATCTGGACACACTGGAGATAAAATTCCCTGACCTTCAAAACACGCGCAGGCCATAACGAGGCTCGAGCACAAAGCTAGGCTCGAGCACAAAGCTACGCTCACCGGCCGACGACCGCTGATGTTCTGGGGCGGTTTGACGAACTCTCGTCATCCAGGCTGAAATTATAAGTGTTGATGTCGTCTTCTAAGCCTGTGCTGTTGTCATCATTTGAAGATTCCACCTCAGATGCTTGAGAATCCTCTGAAATTCGCCGTTTTCATGAAGCGGGCACACGCGACATCGACACCACCATTGAAACTACGCATGCTCACCCGCGCATAAAGAGAGGTGCCTTAAGATCACCACGAGGTGAAAAACAAACACAAAAGTGAAACTGATAAAGTACTTCTTCTTTTACACTCTGGATAGCGAATGATGTCCACAAGCGCATGGAACGTGACAAATATTGATGTTGTAAATATCGACAACATACTACCGATGGAGATAGGCGCGGTCACGAATGTGTTGATATACACTCAAACTTCTGTATAATGAATAACATGGATATAACGAAATACCAGTTATATGCAGTAAATGAAAAACGGTGTTGCAATAGATACAGTGTTAGGAATAGCTTTTATAACGAATTTTCGGATATAAGAAACTTATTTCCTTCTAAAATGCCACTTTGTTATAATGAAGTTTGAGTGTATTATCAAAGTATAATCTGCCCATCTAGTGGTAATATATTAGCACCTTATTTGTAACAATAATTCATTTAGTCAATTCTGCATAAATGTGCTGCAGAAACGAGCCCGCTTAAACTTTCAGAACTCGGCTTGCATGCGGAGCCGGGCCGCCTTGATTTACAACTTTCCTAACGGATATAAGAAACCGTTGCTCAGGGAGTTATGCCCATGGCGTCTGCGAAAAGTTTCCCGACCTCATCCACGTCTCTCTGTGCTACTCAGGTTTTCGATGATATTCGTCTTCTACGGCCTCTGCCTGGCATCCTTGCTGCTTCTGCGGCCCCTGCTGGTCTACAAGATCTTCTCTGGTCAGGGAAAGAAGTCTGTCTTCCTGACCATGTATGCCATTCCAGCGCTGGCCCTTATCCACGCCACAATGGGTGGACTGTTGTGTGAGTAACATCATTGCGTTGCAGTGTTGTTCACTGTAATCTCGGTGCACTGTTCATACATGTTGCAGTTGGTATAATGACACATTACTTTCTCACACCAGTAGACATCAAAATTATTTTTGAATTAATCTCTCTCATTGCTTTCTATGTTACTGGTTAGGAACAATCTTGCGTCAGTTATTGATTGCCATCTCTGTTCCAGATTACGCATTTCCGTACATCGTTATCATTCTGTCTGTGGTGTCCATGGCAGCTCACTTTGCTTTCAGACTTGACCAGGTAAGCGTATTTTTCGTTAGCGTCCCACAGAAACTCGTGGGAGTGGTACTTGTAGTACACTCAAAGCTCATCATAACAAAGTTGCATCTTACACACACAAAAAAAAAACAAGTTCATTATATCCGAAAGTTCACTATAAAGGTATATTTTTAAAGGTATAAAAGAAATGTATGTTCTTTTTGTATCAGACTATAAAAGCACTGCTGTTAAAGTTGTTTAAAAATGACTCAAAACTCACACTCTGCTTCCCCAGAACCGATGTGCCTGCTCATTGCCTCAAATCTACACAGCCTGCTGCTTGAAGCTGCTCGTGCACTAAACATTTTTGCATATTCTGGTGGTGCGAAATACCATTAAAACAGCTCCCAGCACTGTTTTTTTCATTTTTCGTAGTTGTGCACCACACAGCGAGTGGTGCGTTTGGTATGATTTTCGGTCATCTCAATGCTCCCAATGAAAAAGTCGTGTGGTTACTTGCCCTCAAAGCATGCACAGGATTCCCCAATAGGGGGGTGTTATTTTCCTGCAGTGTGTGCGCCCCCTCCTCGCTTTTCCCTATGCACTGAAGCCCTTAAGATTACAATGATGTGCAAAGGCAAAAGAAGTGTTAGGAGAGCACTACCCCCCCACCCTGCGGCTAGCCCTAGGGCCTTGCTACAAGCACTGAGAGACATGTGGTGCCTGCAAACAAGTTCATCTATTCGCGATTTCAATGGAGCTGATCTTTTGAAAGATCGTGTTTCGAAGAGCGTGTTTCGAGATCTTTCGAAGAGCGTGTTTTCGAATAACAAACTTTTAGAAAATCCCCGGCGGTTTTCCTTTGCATTCTACGCAAAAAAATCTTTCTGGAAAATGGATTTCTGAATAGTGAGCATTTCAGTTGAACAAAGTTTAGCAGTGCCGAGGGCTCTTTCTTGAGATAATGTCCTTGAAGTTTTGCATTCTGCATTACTGGCGTAGCCGATGCATTCGGCACTCAAATCGCCGATTCATCAGTGGTGGTTCGCTTCTACATGCAGCCCCGCAGAGGCAAAGCGTCCGCGCGAGAGACGAAACCGAGCCTCGTGCACTTCATTGCCTGCGCACAACCATCAAATTTGAAAACTGTTTACAGTGTTCGTACGAAATTGAAAAAATAGTGCGACAAAGAAGTTGTAACGTAGGAGGCAGGTTCAAATTCTGTATTTCCAGCTGAGGCTATAGGACAGATTAGAAAGTTACTAGACTCTGTGTCAGAGAAGCAAACTGTGCCACAGGCAGTGTGCAGAAACTGTGAACTCTCTGGACAGCTTTGCATGCTCTGTTAAGGGTGCCAGTCCGTACGAAAGCTACAAGATTCTTTTAAAAATAAATTGCATTTCACACTTTCGACTTGATATCTGCTGTGCCCAATGGTGTTCACTATCGTTGTGAATATTCAGTTCAGCGAACTATTTCCTTGGGGCCGTTCAAGTACACTCAAGGGAGAGTTCGCAGTAATATGCTCCACATGTTTCATCTCACGTTCTCTCTCATTATTTTTTATTTCTCTCTCTTTCAGTCCATGTGCTCCCTGTTCTCACAGACTCTGAAGGAGTCGCGAAACTTGACAATTCTCTTCGGCCACTGGTTCCTCCACGCTTACGGAATCATTGCCATCACCCAGTTGCGAGATCCGGTCTTCCACTGGGCACTGCTCGCCGTCGTACCGTTCCCTTCACTGTTCTACATCCTGACGTCAAAGTTCACAGATCCGAGCAAGCTACATGTGGAGTGACATGCAATCCTAGCTTGTGCCCTGTGAACCTCTTAATGCAAGAACTTCCCATGTTTCACTTTCATGTTACGGCACGTCCTCGGTTGCTTGATCCATGAAATGTAGTCTGCTTTGGATCTTGACAACAGCGCATGATCGATGAATAGTATTTGCCCAAGAAACTTCTTTCTTAGACTGTATGTATGACAATGGATGTTGTGTGGCATATTTGAATGATTGCGTGTGGCAGAAGCGATGGCCGTCTCTGCTGCAATAAGATTTATGTTCATTGTGTATTGTCAGTGGAAGGAGATGTGCCACCAATTTGTAGCTGTAAACTAATCTATGTTGCAGTTGCATTTCAGTCTATTTATAATTGTGCAGTCAATGTTACCTTGTGTTTAGTGTTTGAGATTTATCATCATCTTGTGAGGGCATCATGCCCAGCATAGGCTGGTTATTGTACCAGTCTTCAGAAGGATGGCGTGTTGTGTTGGTGAAAAGGCCAGAACTGATGAATTGATGTAAATATACAAATAGCTCGATTTTCGAGGCCTGTAAATACACTCAATAAACTCCCTAAACACCCAGATTTCTTGTCATTGCTAGTGCAAATATTGTCACTTGTGTAAGCTGTGTGTTTGTGAAGTGTGTATTTATCATCCATACCCACTAGTATATGCAGAAGGCTTGGGAAAGAAGTTAGAGTCTAAACATAAGAGAAAGAATCACAGTGACACTGATACAGAGATATGTGCCCCAGCACACAATCAACAAAGGGTGAAAGCAAGAGTAGGGGATAGCAGCAAGTACTGGAAAGGAAGAATCTCCTATGAATAGGTAATGCATGTAACTAGCGAACATAAGGAACTTTCTAGAAACATGGACTGTCCCTGCCCAGTGGCATGAATTTTCGACACCGAATAGTACTATGGCTTAACCACAGTCGAAAATTGTATACTTGCCGGTACTTCAACCCTGCCAGATGAACAGAAATGCGATAAGGTTATGCGATGCGATTAGAAGTCAAAGCCTATGTACAATGTGTGAGAGAGAGAGGCTCATTTGCAGAAAGGCAGAGAAGATGACCTGAGCGATGGTATGCTCTAGGAACGCCTTCTCTAGAAAGATGCCTGCGGTGTTGCTCGCTACCCCATTGTAGCTGTGCTGCCTTGAGTCGTCGGTTGTCGAGGGATAGTGCCACGTTTCAACATATTCTTTTCAGTGAAGCTGAGGTGGTGTGGTGTTGGGGGCGGTAGTGTGTAAGCAGCCACCACAAGGATCGCTTGCTACAGGCCTTATTGGAAACGAAGAAGGAGGGAAAGGGTAGAGCAGCAGGTTTTTGGCTGCAGCGGTGGGCATTTTTGTAGAGGTGTTGGTTCCAGCCTATTACTGTATACCAGTGGAGGGAAACGAAGAGGAAAAAGAGTGATTAATGGAGATAGTAAGTTAGGGATGTTATGGTATTCAGTACTGTCAAGTCAGTACAATGCTATGCTTCTAGTTCAATGGCCTGTTGCAAGGCTCTGACCACCCTTGAGACCCCAGTTGTGCTGTTGGCATCAGGTCAAGGGTACAATAACACAACGTTGTCAGTGCATGGTGATTATGAAATAGTTCAGTAGAGGAAACCTGTCACTGTCAAATCACGTGCGTTCCCTGAACAGGTGTAAAATATGCGCTCGGGTGTTTCTGACACTTGGACAGCAATGACAATAGGACCGGTTCACTGCGCACTGTGAATTGATGGTGGTTACATACAAACTAAAGTTAATTATAAGTGATTCATATGTGAAATAAAGGTAAGTGTGCGCAAGTGAACCAGATGGGACTTAAAAATGAATCAAATGTGAATTCATGCCTTGCTGACCAATCCTCACCCTGTAGAAGCTGTGGCGATGCCTAGGCGACTGAAATAGAACAAGCAAAAAGATGCAACAAAGCAAGCAATGACATGGGAACAATATAATTTCACGTGTTTCTCGTGAGAGCGTAGGCTTTCGCCCCTACACTCCTTACGGTTGCTAAAGGGACTGTACATTTTTAATGAATAACCTTGCCGCCTCTAAACACAAAGCGCGTTGTTGAGGTTGCAGCAGATGACAAAATAGCGACAAACCGCGCAGGTGGCGCTCGCGTCGCTATAGGTGGCGCCTGTGTCGTTCAAGAGTGTGGATCCTTTTCTTGGTCCTTTCTTTTTTCTCTGTGCTTTTTGTTTTTCTTTTCCCACTTTTCTTTTTGAGGCCAGGACACTGAGTGTGTTCCCCCGTTGCAAAGGGGCCGGCCGCCATCACATCATCATCATCATCAACAGTACAAGATGGCCGCCCGTTAGTAAATTATCGCGACAATTTTCGATTATTACGGCAGGACGCCCCGCGCGTTCGCGGCTCTCAAAATCGCAGTGGATGTTATCTCGTGGAGCTGTCTGACGTAAGTTCCTGCTTCCTGCCCTCGTGATTGTCACCGCGTGGCGGAAATGGCGAATTTGTTGACAACTCGCTCGGGGTGTCGCGGTAGCCCGGATGTTTGAGCGAAAGTCGTGCTCACAGCTGCCTTCACACTCGTCGTGATTCTTCAATGGATGCGGCAGAAGTATGAGCGATGAACAGCCATCGTCGCGGACATCTGGTTTGTTAGCCTTGCGCATCATCTCAGACCGTTGGCGTCTCACTTCGTTGATGAATGGAAACAACTTTATTGTAAGACGTCTAGCGTTCCTAGCTAAAAACGGGTTGCCGCCGTTCTTCCCCCCACGTGGGTGTATATTTTTGTTTAGAAGTTGAACGTTGCCCGAGGTGGTGGGTCACCCGCTGTTCTGGAAGAACGTGGCGTAGAAGTTTCGTCCGCGTTGCTGAGCGATCGCGGCTGAAGCTGCACCGCGCTGTCGACCGTCTTGGATTCGACTGCCTGGTTACGCAACACCGCGTCGAATTAACGAAACCTCCGTAGCACGTGTCTTGCCTGTGCGAAAGTAGTGGTGTAGCCAACGCCGATTGGTGCAGGCGTATTGACGATTTTGCACGCTGCTTGTGTAACTTCGACCCAAAATGAAGCATCGCAGACTAAACCTTCAGCGGTAAGCCTTTGGGAGTCCGAAACCGCTCATTCTTTCGATCGAAACATGTCCGACTCGTTGAAATAAGCCTGCCTCCTTCGATGTGTGCCGCATTTCCGATCTCTGTGCACTTTGCTTCTCTGGAGGTCACGAGAGCGTTTGCTCGATTTGCCAGTCTAATCTGCACGCATTCGTGAAAGCTGTGCTCTTCAACGCCGGCTGATCTGGTCTTATAAATTCTGTAATGTTATCTTCGTTGTTGTGAAAGGAGAGAACCGAAAATGCTCTACATTAATCTACTCGTGCAATACGTAACAGAAACGTAAACATTCCAACGCAGCAATTTATATGCACGTCTTGCATAGAACATGGTGTTTCCATATGAGAACTGCGTGCAGTGTTAGTGATGTGTTAGTGGGATCATAGTTAACTAGCAATCCTTCAAGTGTCTTTGAAAAGAGTACCCACATAACACAAAAATATGTGTGCGAGGTGTAGCAGACTGAACACAGGTTCACAAGATGCTGCCCTAGTGTTCTTGGAGCAGTTCATGGCTTTGGTTACGTGGTATTCTGGGAGAGGCCACAAGTTAACAGAATGCTGGCACAAAAGCTTAGAGCCCTGTGTTATTTTTTCTGCTGCAATAAATAGGTAATGACCCTGCTCCGTTTTCTTGAAGGTGCAATGGTTAATTATTTGGATACATTTTGTAGAGCTTGCAGTTGAAGTTTGGGTTTCAGGGAGTATCGAAAAGTGAAACCATGTCTTTTTTTTTCTTACTTGTAAGCTTAACTGGTCACATGACTGCACAAAACAGTGACGTGGGTGATGGCAAGTGCATGGGAGCGATATGCTGAGCACTGCAGCAGAAAGCATGGCAGCCAACACAAACTCATCACGTAGGTGAATGTTGGTAGCTTATGTTGAAAGCAGGTTGATTTTAATGTCGTAAGGTGTTTTATATTAGGCAAGCTTCCATGGCATGCTGATTAGAACTGATCTCAGGTATGTTCAGTACATTTATTGTTAATATTTTGTATATGATGTGCGAGCGTCTCCACAAGTCTGTGAATTCTTCTTTTATAGACATAAGAGACTCGGCTATAGTCATGGTTAATCAGCAATGGCTACCCAAGCTAATTAGTAAAAACTAAATGAAAAACGCGTAATGGCTTTCCTGCCAGGGCAACTACATTGATGAGGTGGGCTGCACTCTTCTATGCATGAGGCGTGAGCGAGTCACTTTCAAAAAATGTTTTGAGAATATGGAGTGCAAGTCTGCCACATCCCTCTAAGCAAGCTGAAACAACAGCTTGTTCGTGTCAACACTGCCTTGAAAAGGAGAGATGCCCTGTTGCTTCTACAAAATTTTGTGCCAAGACTCTTAGGCATGCTATTTAGGTGAGACTGGCAACTTTAAAGAGAGGGTACAGCAGCACCATAACAATTTAAAGACATCATTTCGAACACCCCGGCAGGGCATTACAAAAAAAAAAAGCTAGACACAGTCTTTACTGGCACTCGGCTTCCATCGTCGAAAAAGAAAACGTCCCGTCTGCTCAACGCATCTTTCTGCATACAATCTGCTACTCACACAATAAATCGGATATGGGGTCCACTTCTTGGGATACACACAAGTGCATTGTGTCTTTCGATGCACACGTAATAAAGGTTGCCATGCATTTGTTCATTGTGAAAAAGGTGCCGATATTGGGTGTCGAAACGTCAGTTCTGTTATTAGTGTTCTACTTTAGTTGGGCGAGTGTACGTTTTCTTCAACCTTTATGTTTCACGACAGTGAAGCGCTGGAAAAAACAGAGACTTTCGAAGAACTCTGGGCAAGGCTTTTTCCTTGCCTAATGAGCTTTTGTCAAACGCTAAATTGATTGATATGTGAGGTTTAACGTCCCAAAACCACTATATGATTATGAGAGACGCCGTAGTGGAGGGCTCCGGAAATTTAGACCACCTGGGGTTCTTTAACGTGCAGTCGTGCACCCAAATCTGAGCACACGGGCCTACAACATTTCCGCCTCCATCGGAAATGCAGCCGCCGCAGCCGGGATTCGAACCCGCGCCCTGCGGGTCAGCAGCCGAGTACCTTAGCCACTAGACCACCGCGGCGGGGCTTTTGTCAAACGCTAGACATCAGCTATAGTCATATACAACTTTGCAAGTTCACAGCATTTCCTCCTCAAAATTGCACAAGTCTCAACCAACGTGCGTGCACTCCCAGGCCGATGTCATGAGCCGGACGGCTGGCGACTCCATGTTTGCGCAATATTGCAGAGTGCACGAGCACTCTGCATCGGCTGCTGCGCTAAAGTCGTTTGGGCGGGGTCTCTCTGAACTTTTCAAGTTGTATCTTACTATACACCCTTTTCATAGTTGTAAAGCTAGCTTTCCTGCTATACATTTTTCCCAACCAATGGGGGCTAGTCACTTACTGTTAACAGCATATTCAAGCACGGTTGCTATAATGTAGACTTGGCTCTCTTAATATGAACACGTATATTAGACAAGCCCCAGCATGCACAACCAGGGCCTCGCTTCCATTTGAAGCACGACAGGTGCAATCATTAGCTGGGCAAGCATGCAGTACATAGAAGTGTTCTAGCAGATTATGAAAAGGGTCTATAGACTTGTTGGCTATCCTTGTTTACTGTTGACTGACGTTTCACTCCTGTTTTCCTCTCTCAATGAAGCAGGTGCCAATGGCCAGCAGGCGTATGTTTCAGGTGACCGAATCCCTCAGCTCGGTCGGGGTCGTACGCGATCTAGCCCCCTGCCAGTTGCACAACACCATCCACTACCTGGTGTGCAGCCGGGGCAACAGTATCAGCAGCCAGGGTCGCAGCCACAGCCGGCCATGTGGTGGCCCAACTCTCTGTTCCGCCTGATCCGGCCCCCCGTACTAGTGTTCCCACCTGCAGTGGCCTCACCTTGTGCTGTTGTACATCCGACGACCAACAGCGTTGGCCCGACTGTGGGTAGAGGGCCCCTGCCGGCCGCAACCTGGATTGCCCTAGGTGAGAGCTTGTGCACTGCTGCTACTTTAAACCGGGGATAGCGGCGTGGGGACAGTTGGCAAGTGTCGGGTAGGTCTATTGTAACACTTGTCTAGTGTTAAATTGCAATTGCGAAGTCGGAGCAAGTTTGTTCCAATGACAGAGTGATGGCGAGAGTGAAGAGTTCCAGTGAGAGAATAAAAAGTGGAATCAGAGTGGGAGTCATTCCACAAAGTGGGAAAAGTTGCTCTGCCAAAATCGGTAGAGTGGATTGGAGCTCTGCGTGATGCACTTACTTCAACATGCTTGCCTGCTTGGTAGTGCTGTCAGCAGTCGCGTGTTCTGGTGGCAATAGTGGAAGGTGTGGAATTGTGCAGCCCTATGTAACCCTACTTCCACTGGTCAACCTTGATTGAACTTCAGTTCCTGCGTGAGCAATTTATTGTAAAGTGATGGGGACGCTGACACTGCCATGTAGAAAAGGAAATTCGACAGGATTTGACAGCGTTAGGGAATAACCACTTGTATTCAACTTTGAACTTAAAAAATAGAACTCCACTTCTGGCCTTGCCCCAAGGGGACGGCTGATGTTCAATAGATTCAGAAGTCTAAGTCTACACCAGAGTCGAATGCTCACTTGCAGAGTCTGTTGGCCGCTTTCATTTTTCCATTGGAATTCAACATTGGTATCCGACAGATTCAGTGTGGTGGCCTAGTTAGTGGCTATGGGTTTTGTTTCTGACTACTGTGGCTGCCTTTCGGTTGGCGTGGAAGCAAGGACAGCCATCTACTTTAATCAGGTGCATGTTAAGTGAACCCAGGGTAATCAGAACTCAATTTCGTAGTGGTCCGGCGCAGCACGGCTAGCTTCATTGCCGGTCTTATTTTTTTTGTCTTTCTTTATTTGCATTTTCTTTTTCCTTTTCATTCTCTCTGGGTTCTACATCTCAATTGTGTGCATTTTTCTTCGCTTTCCAAAAGAGGTGGGCAGAGAGGATATTGTTGTTTCATTTTGCGGGTGCATGATCACGCTGTAACTGCATGTTTGGTTTATGGAGTACAGAGACTCACAGCCCAATGACCTGAAAAGATCGCACTCATCTCCCCGTAAAGGGAACCCTGAGTAGTATGCGAAGCAGCCATGGGTCGACTTGGAGATATATGAAGAGGTGCTCTTTATTCATCACCGTGAGCGTGCATAGTTGTGCACACAGCCGCTTTGCGAGCCCTCGGCCCCCCGCACTCATCCCCATGTCTTCGTTCATACTTTTACGCTGTGTGTGAGAGAGAGGAGTAAGAGCGTTTATTATACAGAGCAGCGCAGCACTGCTAGTGGTGTCCACTCGTGCGAGAGCCCGTGCCAGAGCGGGGCAGCGCTCTACTGCAGAGCCATCTTGCGGGCGCTTTAAGTACTAGCGTGACTACAACACAACGGCCAACAGAGAAGCTCCGACCCTAAGCTGCTTAGCATCTAGAGATGTGAAAGCATGTTTGTAGCAAAGTAGCAAAAAAGCACCCCCCTACACTGTGTAACTTTCTGAAGTCAACGGCCTGGTAGTTAAGAATCTGCTTAATTTTTTTTTTTGACCAATCACATCTTTGAACCAAATTCAGACATCGTTACATTGAACATGGAATAAACTGCCTATGGGCTTAATGGAGCGCATAGATTATGCAAACATTGTAAAAGCTTGGATGGCATAAAGACACATGGCATTTGTAACAGCGTTGATTAGATAAATTGGACTTACATTTGGCTTTTGTGGCACAATGATGTAGTCTTTAATTAAAGACTGTTACTGTTGTGTGACATAAAGATGCTTCAAAGGGTGCAACTGCTTCGAGACCGTTATGGTACTCTTTATCAACCTGCAAAACAGCATACTCTCGTTTGGTGACACTGGCCCATTTTCAACTGTTGGCCCCAGGCAGGGCACGAATGCTGCATGCCAACAGCCAGGCTTCCGGTGCCATGGCTGCCCAGCCTGATATTTTGCTGGATGCCAGCCACTTACCATTGCCCTCCAGTCGGCGCCGGCCAGGTACACCAGAGGTCAGTGACCTTGCTGACCATTCCTCTGCGGCCAAGCCGAAGAGGCGCTTCTCAGAGCAACCGCCCCCCAAGGTGGTGATGGACGTCACTGACGCCGTGCTCAATGACAACAGCACGAACAGCAGTGTCGACCACTGCAGCACACCGTCCCCCGTGGCAGCGCATGACCCCGTCCTTGCTGCTGGTAAGTTGCTGATAGGCCCTGAGGCCTCACTACACCACCAATTTGCACCGCAAGCTAATTTTTATATACTTTATTTCAATTTACATGACTTAGTACTACACCGCAGTTAAAAACAGCATTTAATGTCCACAATGCTCTCCTTAGCCTAATTGTTCTTTGGATTCGATTGGTTAGTCTAGCAAAAACACGAGTCCCTCGAAAAAACCTCCATCTTTCACTGTTGTTCGCAAGATAACTTTTAAACTTGGTGTTAAGGCGTTTAATAGCCGGTCCACAGCGAGCAAGCACAATGGCGACAGTAACGGCCAAGCACGGGCTCTCAGTGCGAGCGGCGTCCTTGTTGGGTAGCCCCACTAGAAGGTACTCAAGAGTTCGACCCATTTCATAGTTCGGAGGCTTCGCTACAATTACCCCGGGGTCGAAGAGGGAGCCGCCTGGCGACCTAACAGCTTGTTATTATGAGCGGGTCATAATAAGCCTTCAGGCGCTCCACGTTGACGATGTCTCGCCCACGGCGGCGCATGTCCGAAGATTGTTCAACGGGTTCGATCAGATAGTTGACGGGTGAGGTGCGCTCGATGACACGGTAGGGGCCTTCGTATTTGGGACGTAGTTTGGAAGAGAGGCCAGCGGCCGAGGTCGGGATCGAGAGCCGTACAAGCGCACCAGGAAGGAACGTGGGCTCAGAAGTGGTGCTGGCATCACGGATACTCTTCTGCCGCTCTTGCTCTTGCGTCGTAAAAGTCTTGGCAAGCTCGCGACACTCTTCAGCAAGCCTGGCTGTCTCGGAAATAGGTGTACACTCAGATGGATCCGGCGTGTACGGGAGTATCGTGTCCATGGTGTGCGACGGGTGCCTTCCATACAGCAAGTAGAAAGGTGAAAAACCAGTCGTGCTCTGAGGGGCGGTGTTGTAGGCGTAGGTGACAAAGGGCAGTATATTATCCCAATTAGTGTGGTTGGCAGCGACGTACATAGAAAGCATGTCGCCGAGGGTGCGGTTTAAAGCGTTCGGTGAGGCCATTCGTCTGTGGGTGGTAAGCAGTAGTTTTGCGGTGGACAGAATGGCACTCCGTCAGAATGGCTTCGACGACTTCCGACAAGAAGACACGGCCTCGATCGCTGAGAAGCTCTTGGGGTGGTCCGTGCGCAGTATAAATCTAGAGATTCCAAACCACTTAATTTTAACATCTCGGTAACCGAATCAGTCCTTTTATACTTCGAACATATAAATCGTGCGGAAAGTCTCTGAATTCGTTCCAGTTTACCTATTAAATCCTTTTGGTGGGGGCTCCAAGCAGCACAAGCATATTCTAAAACAGGGCGCACAAATGTTTATATGCAAGCAGCTTGACGTCTTTCGTAGCATTCGGTAATTTAGCACGCAAGAAACGCAGCTTTCTGTAAGAGGCACAGCATACATTCTCGACATGTGCACGCCATTTTCAAATCATTCGTAATAGGCATTCCAAATATTTAAATGCACACACCTGTGGTAATAATAGGTCCAATGCTGTACGTAAATGGTAAAACGTGTTTCTTGGTAGTTATATGCGTATATGTTGTCTTAGAATAATTTATTTTCATCTCCCATTTATCGCACCATGTTTGAAAATCAGCAAGACAATCATTAATTTACAATTGGTCATTCGCACACGTCACCGGGGCATAGATTAAACAATCATCAGCAAACAATTTAATTTTTACAGGAGGGTTAATAATGTCAACAACATCATTTATATACACCAAGAACAGCAATGGGCCCAACACGGAGCCTTGGGGCACACCGGAATAAACATCAAGTGATTCAGACTCAAACCCATCAATTCGTACCAACTGCTTGCGGTTCGTTAAGTATGCCTCAATCCACTTCAGGATATTTTCGTTTACGCCTGTTCGTTAGAGCTTGAAGAGCAATTTATGGTGGGAGACCTTATCGAAGGCTTTTGCAAAGTCTATGCATATCACGTCGACTTGTTCTCTATTATCTACGGCAGCGGCAAAATCGTGGAGAGTTTCAACCAGTTGGGATAACGTGGAAAGCCCTTGCCTAAACCCGTGCTGTTGCCTACATATCAGACCCATTTGTCTCCAAGAAAATAGCCATCTGTTTGGCAATGACATGTTCAAAAACCTTACAGCAAACACACGTCAGAGATACTGGCCTGTAGTTGGTAAAAAGCATCCTGTCGCCACTTTTAAATACCGGTTTCACGGGCCGCAGTGATAATCGAGCAGCAGGAAGGACGCAACATCGCGCGCAGCAGCCGCAGGGAGAGCCGGCGGTTTCGGCGTATCGAGTTTAATGGTCAACGGCAAACGATTGCCCAGCGGTTACCAGCCGACGTCAGAGGAAGTGGTCCATACAAATCGATACCTACGCGCCCAAAGGGACGGTCAGGGCAAGGTAACGGTTGTAGTAGCAGGCATGCGCATTTGAGCTGACGGTTACGGCGTTGGCAAGTGAGGCAAGAGCGAACGTAATCTCTTTATTTTGCGTTTAGTGTGGATAACATCTCTAGTGATTCAGGGGTTAGTCTTCCTTGTTTTTTTCAATCGAATGGGAACAAACCTTTCTTTACAGCTGTTAATTATTGATTTCAATTTCTGCCACAAACAATCAACTGGCTCGCTATCAGAGGCTTGCTTGAAATCATCGAAAGCAGTTTCGAAAAAGTCTAATATTGACGTGTCATCTGCCCGGCCGTAGTCCCTAACAGGCACCCGAACGAAGGGTCGTTTTCCAGGTTTTGTACCACATAGAATCTCAACCGTAATCAGTTTGTGGTCAGATATGCCGTCTTCGACCGTAACACTGAAGTCCTCCATATTGCCCGAAAGGAATACCAGGTCCAGCAGTGACTTAGAACCCGATGTTACTCTAGTGTCCTGTTGAACAATTTGGGTTAGGTTATGGCTGATCATTATTTCAAATAACTTTTCGCTGCTAGTAGCATCCTTATTACCGGCCGATAAAGAAACCACAATTGGGAGCGGAGAGGGCGTCGGCATCAGCATGTGGCGTCATTGTGGTACAGAACCGGTGTCGAGTCTTGTAAGAGAGCCCACGGGCGAACGGGCGAGGGTCCTCATGATACAGCCCGATAGTGCAGGATTGGTACGTTGACGACAGTCTCGAATGGCGACCATAACAATAATATATATATACATTGGAACCACATGGGAATTGGTCATGCCATCTGTGCAGATTCATCTGTTGTTGGTTTGCTCTTATATGACGATGGGACAGCAGAGTAATTGGCTATGATGTTTCTCACATTCCTGTGCATTCTGTTGAGATGTGGCAACAACAGAGAAGCTCAAAGGCCTATTATGCACTCTGACTTATATGCTCTTATGTTGACTCCAAGGTGCCTAGAAGTAACAATGACAGCTATGGTGCTTGAAGAGCACTAATTATGCTTAAAATATTTCATTACGTTGCACAAGGTATAAAAATAGCATAAATATTACTCTAGCTGAATTTTCAGAAGATAACTTTGTAAAGTGTTACCATATTTATTCGAATTTAGGCCGATAGTTTTTTCAAATTTCTTTCGATCAAACTCTAGGTCGGCTTAGATTTAAGGATATTATAAAAAGTGCCATTTTTCATTGAAAAAAGTGGTGCACAACTAACGCCACCTAGACTATATTGTAGCCGTTAGTAGCCGAGCCAACACCTGGCTTAAGGGGGGACACGAGTCTTGGCGACGGCCAAAAAATTCGATTTTTCGGTTTCATGATTTTCATTATCTTTATACCATCCCGCACCTGCCAGCAAAAAATGAACTCGAAATGACGCATCGTTGAGCCAAAAAATGTCGTGTTTATTGATCCCAGAACTTGGTTTCGCTTACGAAATCGCCGAAAACAGCCCCCTTTTGCATTGCTCAAATTGGGTTAACCACTCATCGGATTGCGGCCATCTTAGTCTCATTTGAAAGAGCTTCTGTTGAGCTCGCTTTTCCGCCAGGAGCGAACCTTCAATTCTGCAGCCAGTCTGCGCTACTAGGCAAAAACAAGCGACAAAACTGTGCGGTATCATTGGTCCATAGCAGTCACGTGAGTGAACAGCGGCTTGTGATTGGAACGCAGGGTCTAACAACACTGGTGATCTCGCGCGCGTGGCCGCAAACACGCGCATTGTCACCGCCATTTCAGAAGTTTTCTAGTTTTGCGATCGAAATCGAGATGCTGAATCGTGCTCGAAAGTTCCGCACACTTCACAAATTCGGCAAGCGACGGAAAAAATGGGCTGTGCAGCCCAAGGAGTCATCGCAGCCAGCGCAGGCTATGTCGGCAGAGCCTAGCGGGACAAGAAACCGGCAGTCGCCGCGATGCAGCTGCCCGACACAAAGGCGGCCTTTTATCGCTACAACTTCTACCAGTGGCGACACGCGCTCAGAGTGCCATAAATCATCGCAACTGCCGACGAAGATATCTTCAGGTCTCGGCGGAAGAGCGCAACGGATTTCGCGACGATGTAGCGGTGCAACACAAGCGATCGCGAGGCGACCACGGTACAATCAGAATCAGCTGATTGCACTGATACTTCAACAAGGCGCCAGGAAACAATGCTGCCACTTGTGATCAAGACAGCAGAGAATGCTGCTGCAGCAGATTTCGCAGCCGGAGAAAGTATGGCGGCGACTGCGACCGCTGTCTGCAGTGCTTCAAGTATGTGCGATCGAGCTGCGAGGATAGACGCGACATTTTTGGCATCGGCTGACCGGGAACCCATCGAGCATCGCGCCTAGCAAGAAGCAGCGGAACTTTCCTCGGTCTCGGCAACCGATCGCAAAATGAGTGTTCTCGTGAGTCAGCGCAGCACCGAAAGTTCGTCGGCCTGGACGTATACCATGGTTGACCTCGACATGGTGAAAGTTTACTAAACGAACATTCTGCTTGCCGAGTGTGCCGTGGTCAGTTGACCATCGAACGGGACGCGTGTGAGTACAGCGTAGCCGTTAAGCTGAAGCTTCACTGCAGCAACTGCGGAAAAGTTGGTTCGAAATGGAGCTCGTGATGGGTTAGTGGCATTAGTAACTGCAACCTGTTCGAAATCAACGTTCGCACGGCGCGTGCGGTTCAGAGCACTGGGAATGGTCACACAGCTCTGAATGACATCTTTGCCGCTATCGATGTTTCACATTGGGGCCTTCACACGAAAACATACCACGAGTACTTGAAAATGAAACTTCAGCCAGCAACAACAAGAGCTTGTGCCGAACATTTGAGTGAGTGTGCCACAGTGGTAAAGTGCTTCTACAAGGACCTTAATTTTGGCAACCCCGGAAATATTGCAGTCTCTTTTGATGGAAGCTGGCACACAAGAGGACACACCTCTCACATTGGAATAGCCTCGGTGATAGAAGTTTTTTCAGGTTATGTGCTAGACTATGTTGTGCTTTCTAATTTTTGACTCTGCTGTGAATGTGGTCCGAAACCCGGTCATGACTTGGTGAAGCTGAAATTGTCGAGTGTGCTCATGAGAGCTCAGAAATCACTAGCGATATCAGGGTGTCTCATGATTTGAGGAGGCATGGCAAGGTTGAGAAGGAGGGCATGATATAACCGTCTGTAGTGGCCTTGGTACACAGCGCACCGCTAAATTTGTGGTGCGAATGGTTTAATGCCGCTATAGCCTAAACACACACAAAAAAAATTCTGGGTCCTTTTAAAGCCAGAGAATGTGTTTTTTGGGTTCACAGTGAAAGCAAAGCCATCTGAACTGCCCAGTGTGGAAGATGGTGTCATAGTGACATATTTAATGTGATGCAGGTCATAGGTGTGCTATGACAGGTACGCTCCCTGTGCAGGGATTTTTTGTGGTTCACTTGTGAGACCTTTTGTAAAAAATTCAAGAAAGGGTGTAAAAATACTTTTTGCTTTCAACTTTATGCCTTGTGTTGCCATTCTTTTGTACCACGAGAAAATTTTGGTTCAGGGTTGCATAGTCGCTTCTGACCAAGTGAAGTGCCATGACACATGACAATCGAGGACTTTGAAAAGGACTGCCATATGAATCGGGTCAAGTATTGGAGTCGCACTGGTCGCAAACATTTCAGTTCTATTCACTAACCTCCAAGTGCGTGTTTTGTTCACTTAAGTACTGTTTGAATGCTCATATTAGGAATATTGGCAGTTATCAATGCTGCAGCTTTGGCAAAATGTTTCTGGTAGTTTATAATGAAATTAGTGAAAGTGAATTTTGTTGTAGTCGGTGTTTTCAAAGGAGCTGCATTGTATTGCAGCAACTGACTGATGGAATATGATGATGTATAGCGATACTGCGGCGGCATTCCACCGTACTCCGACAGCACAGTCGTTCTTCCCACGGCTTTCTTTTACCTCTTTGCCTTCCCTCTCGCTCACTTGCCCAGTACCTGTTGCCTTTTTGCTTTTTGCACTTGTTGGACATATTCTTTCTTGTCAGTGAACAACTCTCCGCGGTGGTCTGGTGTTTATGACGCTTGACCGCTGACCCTTAGGTCACGGGATCGAATCCCGGCCATAGCGCCCGCCTTTTAATAGAGGTGAAATGCCCTTATGCATAGTCTTATATGCACATCAAAGCACCCCAGGTGATGAAAGTTTTCGGATCCCGCCGCTGCGCTCTCTCATATAACTATATTGTGGTTTTGGGACGTAAAACCGCTACAGTTATGCTTGTCAAATAAATGCCAGCACACTTTCTGTGCTCAAGCTTCCATGATTCATCTATTTCTATGACTTCCCCGCTTTCCAGCGAACGTGCGTGAGCGTGTGCGGAGGAGTCGGTACTGGGTGCCCACCGATTTGGGCCAGGTGCACGGCGGAAGCGGCGGCTCTGGCGGTGGCCTGGTGTTCACGGTGATGTCGTACAATGTTCTGGCCCAAGGGCTCCTGGAGGACAACCCCTACCTGTACCAGCACTGCCACGAGGATGTGCTCCAGTGGACCCTGCGCCGAAAGAACCTCCTCGCTGAGCTCAAGGAGATCAATGCTGACGTGAGTGTGCGGGACATGCCTGTTGGCTTCTCAGGATTCTTGCACCAAGTTTACCCATTTGGCCTCATTCTGCCATTTCGCTGACATAAGAACTATTTGTCAAGAAGTTTCACTCCTTGTTCTAGGCCCATGCTGAAGTGTTTTCACGATGAAAGTAAATTGGGGGTGTACTGGCTTTCATCAAGTTGAAAGTGTCTAATATTACACAACACTCAACAACATAACAAACACAAGAACACACACAAGGTGGCTTCACCAGCGCCTGACTCGCCACGAGCCTACGGCAGACAACCAGTGGGGCAGTCTACTGCAGACCCACCGCTCGAGACAATCATTCGCGCCACCGGCCAAAGAGACCGCTTCTCTCTCATCTGCTGCCACCCAGGCTTGCCGCCTAACGTCACCGCCGGCGCTATCGTTCTAACAATGATGATGATGATCGCGGTGATAAACGTTTGCGAGTTCAACGCCACCTACTGCTTGGTAGTTGTGAACCAGGAATGCGGCCGATGTGTGAAACATGTGTGCCACAAGGCGCAAATAACTTTACAGGGGGTGTTAGCACCACCACAACACTAATTATTTTAAGTCAGACCACAGAAAAAGCATGAATTATTTATTTTTTAAATTGATGAGGGTTAAGGGGGGGACATGGGTCTTTAAATTTGTTTTTTGTTTTTGGCTCAATCTTGACCAAACCTCACCATCTTGGACAGTTTTTCATGCTGATTTCAAATATGTAATTGTTTCTGAAATAGCTTCAGTGGATAAAAAGATATTAACATCTGTAATTTAATTAGTTATGCACTTCATTGGGGGCTTTTTGGCAACTTAATCAAGCCAGATCCAAAAAATAAATGCATAGCCCCAATGCTGAGGGCTTTCTGTATGGGGTGATGCTATTTTTATTAATTTTTAGGCATTATATAGATAAGAAAACAGACCAGCGCTTACAATGGATATTCTGTCAAATTTTCACTCATTACTATCCATAATTGTAATTAACAGTATGCTTCTAGAGTAATCAAAATAGCATCACCCCATAGGTAATGTTATTACAAATAAAATGATACCAAGTTTGTCATTCTCAATCAACAGTAACATATAAGAAAAACCCCTAAGGTTTAGTGTGGTGCATAAAAACATCGAACTGAGAAAAACGCATTTAAAATTTCTAATAACTGTAACTTTTGCTAAAGTGAAGCTAGAGCAATAAAAATGGCACCGTTGTATAGCTCTACATTATGTGAGTATGGCTGTACCAAATGTGTCAATGCACCTTCCCAAAATATTTGCCACAGCTCATTTAAAAACTGTGTATTGGCCGTTGAATCAGTATAAGGAACCCAGTCTACAACTTTGTGGCTGCTCTAGTGCACTGAAAACCAAAGGAAGACACATGTTATAAATAAAAGCATCGCCCTTTTATACATAAAACACTATTTCAAGTAAAACACACATTTTTGTCCCAGACATCCTTACAATTCTACAGCAAGCCAGGGCTGTATGCAGTGTCTCTTGCAGGCTTATGTCGCTTTGCAAGTGTTGCCTTTGTTGAACTGCTCTGCAGGTGCTTCCTCCGCGATTTGTGAAGCCTGGTTTTATCCTTTTCAAGGCTACGATGCATGAAGAGATTTCCTACACTGTAGCCTAGCTTCTCAGCAATCGCTTCATTGCTCTTCGTGGCCCCCTGATTAAAGCAACTGATGGCTTCAGCCACTGCTCTTTCTACGCTGCGCAGTGAGGCATGGGTGGTCTTGGGGACTTGTTGCCAAATTGTAGCGTGTAAGCTCTCACTAGGAATAACAGGCACTTGCGCCAGCGTGTCGTCGTCTGAATGTGCTGCCTCCGCAATAACAGGCATTTCCGACAGCCCGTTGTCGTCAGAATGCGCCGCCTCAGCCATCTCCGGCGTTCTCGGTGGCGCGCAGACCGCTCCCTTCTGCCGCGCATTCCACGCTCGCTTTCGTTTCCTGCCGAAAGCTTGACGAGTGTTCTTCTTCAGGCGAGCTTCCCAAGCCATGCCGGCGAAATGCAGAAAGACGTATACGTCGGCGACGTCGGTACACGAGCGGGTAGCAGACGAGATAACACGCACGAGAGCAGGCGCCGACGGAGCAAAACCAAACAAACAAACAAAAAAAAAAGAGCGAGCAACCGTGGCCGCGACGCCGCGCCAGCCAATGGTAAGCGCGAGACGGGGGGGCTCGCCGGCGCGTGCGCGCTCTAGCCATTCAGCGGTCCGGCAGACGGCTTCGCAAAACGGGGGAGGGCAGTCGTTGTGTTGGAGCTACGCCATTTTGAGAGCCCGCAAAACGCGCACAAAGGAACCAGCTTCAAAACAAGCCCAAGATGGCGCCGATCCGCCGGCTGCTTCGCTGGCGGCGCGCGCGGGAAGTTCGAACAAATTTTCTGTTTTGCGGGTTGTTTTGCAACTCCCGTGATGGTTTGAAAATAGATTTTAACTTATTTTTTTATCGAGTTTAGCGTTAATAATTTGAGGAGAGGTGCTTATAGGTTCAAAGATTCGAAAAATGCGTTTTTCTCAAAATCGATTTTTTGGCCATTTTTTACTTTTCTAAGACCCGCGTCCCCCCTTAAATTATAATGTTGCTGCATAGAGTGTACATATACTCCACAGAATGTGCGTGCTCTGCACAGAGAGCTACAAAAACATGCATGCTGTTATTCGAACCATATCTCTAGCGTTAGTGTCTGAAACGTTTTCACTGATCTTAATATTCACAGCTTGGCAAGTGAGCATTTAGTTTTATTCGAAGTCTCAGATATGTTACATCTTAGGAAGAAGAGGCCCAACATAAATGGCGGAAGCGTGGTGGCTCATTGCTTGTGCGACTCAAATTATCCTGTGCATAAGCGAGACATCCGGGCCACTGGCTGTCCAACTCATGACATCACTTTAAGGGAGACGTGGGTGGAAAAGTCGCGGTGTACCGAAAAATTTTCGCTTTTTTTTTCTGGTTGTATTGGTATCCTTGGATTATAATTTCTTATTTCTGAAAATATCAAGCTGAAATTCGCTAAAAATGCTTCGAAGCAGGGAGCGGTGACATGAGAAATGTGCAAAAGTCGCCAAAAATGACATAGTTCGCGTTGTCCTGTCGCTAAAACGATGCGTAGGTTGCCATTTGCAATCGTGCACGCATGCTGCGAAGGCCTTCCCCTTCACAATCCACTAGTAGCCAGTCTCGTATCTTTACGAAGAATGAACCAAAAACAAGAAAGACAATGCATACGTACGCGTTTTGAATATCGCGGCAAGCAGCGCGAGGCCGCCGTTGGTCGGCGGTGCGCTTCGCCTCCTCCTATCCTTCCTTGGACGTCGCAATTGAGTTGTTCGGTGTTTCTCTGCAGTTTTGCGTCATGGAAAGCCCCGAGAAGAGCTGTCTAGATAATTGAAAGTTCAGAACTCGCCCCAAATATCGAGGGAAACGGCGTTGGACGCTTCTCAAGGCGACAGTGAACGCCAATGTCACTGCTGACCAACGCCCCGACTTTGCGGATAGGTCTAACTGACGCCGAACCCCGCGGCGACAGTGGTTGTAAAATAGCCGCTGCCGTGAAATTCGTGAGTGCATCTCAAATGAACAGCGGATTCTTTGAGAGTGAACGTAGATCAGTAGGTGCTGCTACTGCCAACACGCTGCTTTGCGAAATCGATGCGCTGACTGTCCTTGTGGCGCGCGCGCTATGCCCAATCTGCTGCGAACGGGAAGTCGGCGTCCGAGGTAGCTGGAAAGCGCAAAGGGCTTTCGGCATTCGTCGAACTGTGCTGTGAAAATACCGATTGCCCTGAATCTACACTTTCATCCACGCACGCGTCAAGACGTACTACTTCGACCAAGAACCAAGGGACGAGCGCTCGTTTGGACAGCGGGAGCTCGCGTGATAGCTTGGCTGTAAACGTTGAAGGCAGTTCTGGCAGCACGCATTATAGGCGCAGGCCATGACCAACTTTCACAATTCTGTGCGATTCTCGGTCTTTCGAGCATTCAGTGCAAGATGCTTTTCATTGTGCCCCAATTTGATGCAAAAAAAAAAATCCTAATAAATGCCAACTTTCCAAACTTTCAAACTTTTTTTTCTCATTTTAATTTTTTTTTTTGACAATTTCACATTTTCCGGGCAGCCTTTTAGACACTTATACTTATTGTATAATAACGAAGCTTGGCACGCATATTCATCAACACATGCAGAATGCAAATATCTACTTGAAACTGCAATGCCTGTCAGAATTAGTTGCGAAAATGTTAGGTTATTGTTTCAAGGGAGATTGAAAATTATTAGTCACTCAATACGATATTTTTTTCCTTGGTTCTAATATTTCTGTGACATATCTGGATAGATATTTGTACTTTACAATCTACCGAGGGTCAAATAAGATCAGAGACAATGCTTTTATCTGAAGTTAAGTACATAAAAGAGTACCCCCAAAACATGTAACTTTTTGCTATTGTGCATGGCGTAACTCAATAACTATAGCAGCTATACAAAAAATGATTGCATATTTGAAATATCTATGAAAGACTATATTAATGACAAAATTTCGAAGTGTCTATGACTAGAAATAAAAAAAAAAAGTTTTTTCGAGGAGCGTCTCCCCTTAAAGTAGGATTCCATTGGGGAAAGCTCATGTTCAATCACATTTTAGTAGGAAAAACCACTGCAGTCCGAAGTTTTACCCAACTATACAGTAGGTGCTATGGGACATTGAAACGGGAACCATGTCAAAAGGCCGACTTTTCTGCATCATTCTGTTGCCGCTGGGTTGAGCTCATTGCAGTACAAGGTGTAAAAATAAACTATCGTTAGATGCGAAGCAGCTTTTTGACTAGCCTGTGTAACGCTGTCCGTCCGTGTCTCTGTGTCAATGTGCCGCACCACGCTCTTCTCTCCGCAGTTGCTGGAATGATGCCAAGTAGGTCAAGTCGCAGCTGCATGTTGACGTCACTCTCTCCCTCACCCACAGCAGCTGCTGGCTCCTCCCCCAGCTTGCGACACACTTCTCTATCGCTTCACCCTCTCCACTGCCCGCAACGCTCGACCGCACGTCGAGTGGAAACACTAGACAGATTTAGTTGCGCGTCTGCAGTACCCGTGTGGACGCGGCCTGCCACTGAAAATCGCTAACAGGCTGCGTCCGTACGGCTACTGCGGATGCGTGACTAAATCTGTCCTCTCTTTCGGCTTGTTTACCTGCGATTAAAAGTACACAAAACTCAACCTGCCTCCTGCATTTTTGCGTTTCAAACAAATGTTTACTCGAGTAAATGCTACACCGAGTTTCGCTTCAAATCGTTCTTCCAGCACCTGCTTCGATGCTCGTTTCAACGGGGTCAACGCTGTGCGCACCGCTGCTGCTTCGCATTCCATAGGGGTTCCCTTTGAGGAGATGGTTCATAACTTTTGATAATGTGTACACCGCAAGGTTCCTCGTCAGTGTTTTTATTAAAAGAATTGTTATGCTATGTTTGTATGGTAACACTCTCTACAGTGTGTTCCATTACCAGAGGAAAGCAGCAACGTCAGGCATGTGTTTGCTTCCCATTAGCAGCAGATCTGATTCCTTTATGTTCATACTGGAACAGTGTGTGTTGACTGCGTCCCATTCTTTTCCGGAAATCAGTGCTACGAAAGCAGCATGCGGGACCGCAAGGCCCGGGCTTTCACGTTGGGCTCTCGGGGGTCGGCCGGCTGTGGCCTGGGACTGCGGCATCGTAATCTGACTTGCCCTCTTCACTGATTGTCCTCCCCCATGCTCCAGATTCTCTGCCTCCAAGAACTCCAGCAAGACCATTACGAGACGGACTTCAAGCCCGAGCTGGAGAAAATGGGTCAGCAAAGCTTCCTCTCTATGCTCAGTAATACTTTATCGACCACTGTTATTTGGTCACACTTTCTGCCCATAGTTCAGGGAGCTTTTGTTGTGGATGTGACTGTCCAGAACATTCCACCTGCATTCACTTTTCGTTATGGTTGTGTTGCAATAGTTTCGTACAAGTTTATGGCTGTCTTGCAACTGTCACTTAGGAAGTGTCGCAGTGCAGGCTTTGCAGGATCAGCTTATCAGCTGAATGTGCCTCTGTGCTTCAAGCCTGAAAGTTGCACATTGTCATTGCCATGCTATGCAACAACCTCTTTGCCTTAGACCTTGTGTTTACAGTGCTGATAGCCTGTTGCTAAATCCATGAATGCAACTTTGCTTTCATGGCAATCGCATAACCTATGGACCTCTGTTCTTGGGATGAAAGGCACGCATTAGGACATGGTATAGGTGGTAATCATTCGTTCTTAAACCATGTTAAGCCACATGAAAGAACTGTCTTGTTTGTTGTCATGAAAACCAGATGGTTTCTCTGTACCATCAGCTTCTTTGCATGTTTTTGTGTGCTTTATCTGTCTGAGTTTATGCACAGGTCAAGAGTACCTCAACTGTCCTCATCGATGCACATAAACATTGGCATTCTTGATGCATCTTCTTTGTACCGTATCCTCATAAACATTGTGTACTCTGTGACTGTAGCACAGGTTAACAATTACGTATGCCTCATCTTCTCATTCAGGTTATGGCTGCCTATACAAACAGCGCACTGGTGACAAGCGAGATGGCTGTGGCATTTTCTTTCGCAAGTCTGTTTTCGAGCTGGACTGCTTCGAGCCGATCGAGTACGCCCGCTCCGACGTTACCGTCCTCGACCGTGACAATGTTGCTCTCATTGCCATGTTGAAGCCGGTTGCTGGCAATGCCAAGTTTGGTGCAGATTTCCGGCTGTGTGTGTCGACGACTCACCTGCTGTTCAACCCACGCCGCGGAGACATCAAGCTCGCCCAGCTGTGCCTCCTGCTTGCCGAGATCGACCGGCTGGCATTTCGCGGAGACTCGCCGGATGGCACGCCGTTGTACGTTCCCATCCTCTTGTGCGGAGACATGAACAGCGAGCCGCACTCACCCCTCTACACTTTTCTCACCCGTGGAAGCCTGTGCTATGAGGGGCTTCTCTCAGGCGACGTTTCCGGGCAGAGCGACGGTGCAAACCGCGGAAAATATGTGCCCCTCGCCAGCAGCCTTCGTCAGCTGAACATCTCCGGTTCGTCCCGGTACCTGCCTGCACCGGCCAAGGAACCTGCATCTCAAAACGTTGATGCTCCCTCCAATTCAACGCAGCCAGCCGCTGAATTTAACAGTACTCTTAACCTTGTGCAATGCAAATCTGCAATAAGTGACATGGCTGCCAAGGAGGAGTCGACGAGTGGTTCTTCGAGGAAGGACTCGCCATCAAAATTGGCTACAAACAGTGCCTCAAAGGACTCGCAAGCAAAAAGTCCACCCGCGGAAGACACGGCACCGGCGGCAAATGCTTCTGATGCAAATGACTCAACGCCGGCCAAGGAAAGCCGGCAGCGGGTCGTGAGGCACTTCTTGAACCTGATCTCTGCCTACAAGCACAATGTCAAAGGCGCCAATGCCGAGGTGACGACGCACCACCAACGCGCGAGTTGCACCGTCGACTACATCTTCTACTCGGTGAAAAGAAAGGACACCATGTTCAGGGAGGGCCAAGTGAAACATGCCTGCGTCATCGAGGGACCGCTGCGATTGCTGGCAACGTACCGCTTGATGTCGCAAAGCCAGCTCGTGGCCGTCGGTGGGCTGCCTAACGAAGTACAGTCGTCGGACCATCTTCCCCTGATCGCCAAGTTCTTGCTTAGACCACCGAGCTAGTGTTGACGACAACCGAACATCAGTACCGCTCTATCATTGGACTAAAGTCAGTGTAAATAATGTCGCTTTTAAAACAAACGCTATGACTTTTTCATTTTCCAGGCACCACTGAAGCAGCAACAGAGGGGCTGTAGTCATCAATAATGTGTGTGCTGCATTCGAGAGGCATTACTTCTTTCTTCGGCCAACTGCACCCTTGTTGTTTGGACGTTTAGAACATAATGTTACTGTAGTTTTTGGGAGACGCTGCTTATCATCAATGCCTGCAACGAAGCAGCCGAATCTTTACTGGTTTTAATGCAGATTCCTGTACAAATGTCTCAGTACTTATGTATAATTAATAGTGATAACGGAAAAAAATTTGGAATGGGAAATTCTTATTTGATGCGCTATTAGCATACCCTGAAGCCTGAGCAATTCATAAGTTTTCCCCAGCTTTTGAAAGCATGCAAGAACTTTTTGCTGGAATGACAGCCGAATTATTTTTCCGTGAATAAATGTTGGATTCAAGTATTTAGCCTACTCCTCCCGCTGTTGTGTGTTGATAAACAGTGGCAGTTTGTTTGGCAGGCAGCAAGGCCTGTTGTGCAAGCTCCTGCCATATATATATATATATATATATATATATATATATATATATATATATATATATATATATATATATAAGCTTTGGGGTTGAAATGTTTTTCTTGGTTTTGGATCCACAGTACACTGGCTTACCTATAATACTACATGGGGCAATTTATGCAGTCTAGATAGTGTCGCAACATCAGCTTTGTTGAATTAAAACTCAAATAAGCTGGTAATTTCAGGTACATTGTGATGGCACTTTCTATTGTTGGAAGCTTTGATTCTTGTCAGGCAAGTCGTGTTGACATAATGCAAAAGGTCTTGATAAAATGATCATCAGGACATTGTGGGGAATATGGAGGCATGACTACGTCTAAAACTGAAAACTGAATCGAAAGTTGGGCTAGTTAGATATGCATGGTATAATTGTCAGTTCAAGTGCATGAATAAACATAAAGGAAGAGAAAGGAAGATATTTCTAATGAATCGTTTAGTTGTGAGAAAGCGCTTGTTCTCTCTTCTTTTATGTTTATTCGTGCGCTTGAACTGACAGTTATACCACGTCTAAAACTGCCATAGCAGTATGTACTCAAACCTCATTAAAACAAAGTTTCATCTTACATGAAAAAACTTTGTTATATTTGAAAATTTGTTGGCACAGTTTATTCCTAACACAGTATTGCAATATTATTTATTTACTTCGTTATAACCGTCATTTCGTTATATCCGGATTCATTATGCTGAGGTTTGAGTGCAGCAGCATAGCTTATGTGTATGGCTTCGTCGGGTGCATTGCAGCTGGAGTAAGAGGTTGATTTGTAGAGGCTCACCGCCAGTGGTAAACTGATGCTGGTGGAATTTCAGCGATGTTGCCAGTGACAAAGCGAAACATCGTTGCAATAGTTTTCTTTTGTGAGATCAGAGACTCTCGGAAGATACCACTGGAGTTGTAGAAGCGAACTTGCATGAATGAGACTACAGCTGCTAGGGCTACACCATAGTGTTCTTGGAAAAAGAAAAAGTACAAATAAAGATTGCAAGATTAAAACGTATCCCTCAACCTGAGGGTCAACTCTGACACGACTACTCAAGTAAATTCACGGACCATTGTAATACGAATGCATTACACCTAACGAAAACACTTTTTTTAATGCAAGTATGGCTAATGTCGGCATAATTTTGGCTTGAACACTTAGTCTCTGGCTCAAACAATCTTTGCAAACTGGGTAGTTACCCAGATTGTGCTTTCGAGTTGTTGCTTGCGGAAGTTTTTGCACTTGGAAATCTGTTGTCTCTACATTGTATTTAAAAAGTGAAACTGTTTTCATGAAGCATTACGGGCCTGTTCTAATTAAATGAAAGTTTGTTACGTTTTAAGAGGATAGACTTATGAGTAAGCGGAACTTAAATACAGGCCTTTGAGACTTTTTACAATAATCATTAAGTAAGTAAAAAAGGAGTATGAAGTTAATAAATAGTTAACGTGTTACAAACACACACATCGTAAGAATGGCCTTAAATTTATCTCTTCCAGTATTTTAGCCTCTATACTTCCAGTGGTTCCTTCTCTTAGTGCAACCAAAATAGGTTTCAGCCACGGGAACGTTTGTGAAACAGTGTGCAATTTTTAGGGGCAAAGCTCTTTAGTGTGGGGGTCTGTCCTTTCTCTGTTGGTGTATGTAGCCACCTTGCAAACATCGCACTACACCTCATCACCGATCCACAGCGACCATAAAGTCAATACTGTTGAGAAGTAGCCAATATGAAATGCAAGATGGTCGTGTACTTGTATCCAGGTGCACGTTAAAGAACCATAGATTTTCCCACTGTGTCCATCCCTTGTTTCTTCGTCACCGCCTATACTAGTTCCACCTTTGCAAACTGCCCACTACTTTGTCCTCGCAAACATCCCCCTACACCTCATTACCGATCTGTCACTTCACCAACCATAAAGTCGTTATAATGAAGGAAGAACAGAAGCGACATACAGCTACCACTTATGAATTATAAAATTTCTTGTATAAATATATACACTATTTGTCACAACTTTGATGATGTAGTGGGCGATATTCGCGGATGTTTGACAGTTTAGCGATGAAACCCTCGGGCGCTTCGCCCCACTCATCATCATTCACCCTGTGGATATGCTGCAATTTTTTCCACGGGAGACAAAACGAATAGATTGTTAACTTTATGTTCAATTTCAAGGTTTCGACCAATGGGCTTGATAATTTATTTTTATTTTATGATTTTTTTCAAAAACTTTGATTATACCAGTGAATCTCTTTTTAAACCGACCATTCCTAAACATATTCGAATTATAACACATTATTTGTAAAGTACTGTAAGTGTTAACAGTGCATAGAGCATTTATACAATGCAAGGGTGAGGGTGCAAGACCAAAAGAGAATAAGAAAAAGAAATGGGAAAGAATGTACATGTGCAGCAAGAATTGTTTCACCATTTCACTTACTTCGAGCATATCACCACATGCACATCTTTTTTGGTCTCGCACCCTCTCTCTTGCATTGCGTAAATGCATTTATTATCGAAATAAAAACCAGTTGGAAGTCTGTGCTCTTTTGTCTCTGTTGTGTTGCACTTTCCTAATTGTTCTATGTACTGTTAACACTTTTTATAAATGACTGCAGTGGGTAGCGCCAGATCGCTAAGGGACAACCAACCAACACATAGTAGTAAATCATTGTGAATGCCACGTGAATTTTCTATTTTTGTGGGTGATCAGAAAAGTCACATTGCACCAGTAGTATATTACTGAGAGATGTATTATAAAAACGCCGGGCCTGTGTGGAAGGTGCATCACAGTCACAGAAAAAGCTAGAAGAGAGGCCTTTCAAAGGGTTTTCCAAACACTCATTGGTTAACTGCTGCAAGCACACGTGCTTGATGCCCACTACGGCATTAATAATAAAAATTTGAGGGTAGTAGGCTGGCATTCGCTATGCTGTTTTTCGTCATTCTTCTGAGAAGCATGGTATCCGCTAAACTATTGCGAGGAATTTTGTGCAAATTGTTCATGCAGTGGTTGATGACGATGGGGAATTATGCCTGAAGTGGGTATGTGCCACAGTGAATAGGTCAAGAATAACAAGCTTTTGTTATGAGTTGGAGGATTGAAGAACCCACTCGTTATACTATTTGCATTGTGCGACGACTGGTTGTTCTTTCGCTGTTTTAAAACACTTTATAAGTCGTATTAACGCGATTGCTTTCCCAACATCAAGCCTGGGTAAGGCAAGTTTGCCAAGTCCCAAGCACTGGCGTAGATCCTGGTTCAAGCCCCACTGTGTCATTGATACTAGGTTTTTTTTGCTAATTTCGCGGGATGTTGTTATAGGCGGCGGCAGACAACTACGGCGCTGCGCGAGACCCCAGTTGTGACCTCGTAACAGCTTTCGCTGTTATAATAAATGGGTCCACTTTATTTGGTGTAGTTTATACAGAAGTGGGGAGCTGCTTCTTCATACTGCAGAGTTCAGAATTGTAAACTGAAAACTTCCATTCCTTCATGTTGGCAATATTAGCTCTGTACAAAGAATAAATGGCTTGCATAAAAATGCTTGCTACATTCACTAGGTGTGAACTTTTGCGTTAAGTGTAACCAAAACAAAATTAGGTGTAATGGTTGCAAAAAAAAAGGAAGTTCTGCACAGGTGCCGTGAGCGTGCCGTGTTTCAATAACACTTCATTTGAACCAGCGAATTCAGCCTTTTTCGTTGTAAATTTAGTAGCTGCGTGCCTAGGAAAGCGTGATTATTTTAACTCCTTGTTGTGCTTACGCCAAATGGCGCAAGGATCGAAAATGTCGGAGAGCGACGAGAAACTCACGCGAAAACTCATTGCACGGGCAACGCCGAAATGAGTTCCTTCGCGGGCTTCACTGCGGTGCACGTTGGATCGAGACTTGGCGGTTGCTGCGAAACGCTACATTCCACGACGTTTAAACTTTAGTCGAGTGGCTGTGCTCGCTTGAACGGGTGTCAGGTGAGGTCACAGAACACCTGTAGTGAGGTCACGCAGTACATCGATGTGCGACTAGCTTTGCTGCTGAGCGCAAACCAAACCGCATCCGGCGCCGGTTGCGTGGAAAGAGTTTGCGTTTGCATGCTGACTGGCTCCGAGGCGCAACTGGCGTCAGCTGCGGCGCCGAATCACCAACGTGAGACCGCTAGAACGAGTGGTTACGTCAAGCTATTCTTTTTGGCTTAACGCTAACGTTCACGCGGGGCGCCACTGCGCGCGCGTGCGCTGTGGCATTTGTTGCACTTTGTCGTATTAGCCATTCGTCCAGCTGACTGCCTCGCTCTCGCCGCAACGAAAAAAAAAAAAAAAAAAAAACGTGTGTGCGTTGTTGCTCCGTTAACAAGCAATGAGAACGGAAACGCAACGTCGTATTAGCGACATGTAAGCGTTTATCTTGTTGGCTAGTGGACGCGACAGCGGACCTCCGGACCGCTGACAGGGACCGATCGAGTTTCCAGCGCGCTGATATGGCTCTGCGAGTACTGACAGCTCACCGTCTCTCGGTGTGGGCCGTTGCGGAACATTACCATTGTCGAGCGCTGTACAGGTATGCAAATACGTCGCTACATTCTCTCTGCAGAGTTTCGAGCATTGCCATGCCTGGAGCACTCTTGCCAAATGCCCTAGCCATGCCGGCGCATGTGAGCAACTGGTTGTCGTTCACGCCTATAGGGGCGGCGGTCTCTTGTATGGCCGCAGAGATAGCCCGCATGCGCGTTATCGATTAATCTGATTTGGAGTAAGTATATACGTTTGCGAATCTCATCGTACCGCAGCGGTGGCCCTGTGGCAAAGCCCCCGCCTCATATGCAGGAGCAGGGGGCAGGAAGAAAATTGTTTTCAGGTGGGGGCACCTCCTCGATCTGAAGTGGGGAGCCAGGCTGGGAGACGTGGTTGACCGTCATTTTG